CCAATGGATTGCTCTCCGAACGAGAAATCCATTGGTGGGGTCACACGTTTGCTTCGAGGCCTGTTTAGCGACTCTGGAGCTCAAAACGCGTCTAGAGTTTTGGCCGTCTCCGCCGGTCTTCTGGTCCACTGTGCGTCGCCTTCCTCGCCGACTCCGAGACCCTCGTGCCCTACTTCATGTTGGGGTGACCCGCTGCGAGGCCCGCGTCCCCGAAGCATGTCGAAGCCAGGCCAAGTGACTGCACGTTGCTCGACTCGGCCAGGCTCGGCTCGGCTCGGCTTCGGCTCGGCTCGGCTCGGCTCGGCCCGCCTCGATTGAATCGCACATGCTCGCCGTCGCTGTGGTCCGCCGGCCGCGCCGGCCACGCCGCTCGTCGGCGACCTCTGACCCCGGCCGGCCTCTCCCCGGCGATGTGTGCGATGTGTCCTCTCCGTCTCCGACAAGCCATTAGCGAAATCACTCAACCTCGCCGTCCACGCGAGCTGGCATGGCGGCCCGCGGCCCGGCCGGCTGATCCCGAACCGAGAGAGGCATGCGAGAGAGACAGAGAAGAGCTGTTCGGAAGGGCCACTGGCAGTGCAGGCCCCGCCGATGACATTCCCGCGCAGCGCGCACTGCCCGATGCACGCCGAGTCAAGGTCACCTGCGGCAACTTCCAGACTCGTCGCTCTGTCTCTCTCGCACTCGCGGGTGCGAGAGAGACAGCAGTACTTTCTTTTCGCGCTTTCACATGTTTCCATTCCGCGAAGACGGCGCCCCTCGTTCGGGGAGCAATCCATTGGTGGGGTCACACGTTCGGTTCGAGTCCCATTTAGCGACTCTAGAGCTCTAAACGCGTCTAGAGTTTTGGCCGCCTCCACCGGTCTTCTGGCCCACTACGCGCGGCCGAACAGCATGAAAATTGAACGGCGACGTCGGCTAACAACTAGAAGAGGAAAATGAAAAGATCCAGCGGGTATTCGAACGAATGTCCGATAGCGCGTCCCCTTTGTCGTCGCCCAGGTTGAGATTTTTCTTCATGCCCCGGGCCAATATAGAGCGGCGGGCATTTTTATCCAATCCAATGACGTCCAACGGGGAGGGCAATGCTGCAGACTGATTCCGAGCTGTGCTTCGTCGCTCTGTCTCTCTCGCACCCCACGGCGCGCCCCGTGAGTGCGAGAGAGACAGAGCTAGCCGTTCGGATCCGGCCTGCTGGCCTCGCTGAAGTGGACAGAGACGTGTGGCGCGCATCCATCGCGCTCGACAAGCCCCGCCTATGGTTGAAGGCGAAGGGCACACTGCCTGCCGCGGACCGCCCGCCTCATCGCTCTGTCTCTCTCGCACCCAGGCGGCCACCCCGCGAGTGCGAGAGAGACAGAGCGAGGGGGCCGGCCTTCTGAATCCGGCGGCTGGACGAGAAAGCGCGGACGGACAATCTGGACGACGACGACGACCCTCTGCGGGGCGATGCGGGGCCACGCTAACTGGAGGCGGTACACCGCACAGTGGGCAAGAAGACCGGTGGAGGCGGCCGAAACCCTAGACGCGTTTTGAGCTCCAGAGTCACTAAATGGAACTCGAACCGAACGTGTGACCCCACCAATGGATTCCTCGTTCGGAGAGCAATCCATTGGTGGGGTCACACGCCCGGCTCGAGTCCCATTCAGCGACTCTGGAGCTCAAAACGCGTCTAGAGTTTTGGCCGCCTCCATCGCTCTTCTGGCACACTGTGCACTGTAACGCTCTGCCTGGAGCGCCTGTCGTCGGCCGGTTAGGCAGTCCGCCGCGCACGCGTGGCGCGCCTACCTCGTGTTGCCTACCCGGCAGGCGCTCTACCTGGCGCTCCACTGCAAACGCCCGCCCCACCCCGCCCCGCTTGTCACGCCCCAAACTGCGGATAGAATCGACGATGAATGGGATGCAGGCAAACATGGCGAAGCACCGGTACCAGGTGTTCAAACAAACGCGCGCGCACACACAGACACACGTCTATCCGAACACACATGCACACCACGCCGTCGTGTGGTGGCACGAGTCTGCCCTTTATTTCCTTTGACCGGTCGAGGGCTCGCTGCAGCTGCAGACGGATTCCGAGAGTCGCTTTCGTCGCTCTGTCTCTCTCGCACCTGCCAGGGACGCCCTATGAGCGCGAGAGAGACAGAACGAGAAAAGCGACTCGGTGTGCAAGCTGAGTGGAGGTTGGTCTGTGCAGCCCTTACTCACCACCGTGTCACAGTGGGCTAGAAGACCGGTGGGGGCGGTCAAAATCCCGGACACGTTTTGAGCTCCAGAGTCGCTAAATAGCACTCGAACCGAACGTGTGACCCCACCAATGGATTCCTCGTACGGAGAGCAATCCATTGGTGGGGTCACACGTTCGGTTCGAGTCCCTTTAGCGACTCTGGAGCTCAAAACGCGCCTAGAGTTTTGGCCGCCTCCACCGGTCTTCTGGCAAATCCACTGTGCGTGTGAGTGCAAACGAGCGGACTCGTCTGGTTAGGTTGTCCGCCATGCGCGGCGAGTGCCGAGTCTGGCTGAGTCTTCCAGTCACTGCCACGGCCGGCCACGGCATGCAAGCGCCAGCGCGTGCGAGGCTTAGAGTGGCGGGATGAAGGCGGGCAGCCGACAGGTCGACAGGTACTCTGGGGTCCCTCGGCCTGTCTCTCTCGCACTCACGAGCCGTCCCGCACAGAAGCGAGAGAGACAGAGGGTGCCGGAGGAGCCGAGAGATTCCGCGGAGCGCGGCCGTCAGTCTGTCTCTCTCGCACTCACGGGACGTCCCGTGTAGGTGCGAGGGAGACAGAGCGACGGGCGCACTCTGCACGGCGTCGTGGCGGAACAGTGCGTCCTGCTGGACGAGCAGGCGAGACGGGCGGGGATTTTAACGCCCCTCCCCGCAGCCCGGATTCAGTTTCAGCCTCTTTCCCCCGGACAGACGTGAGACGCCTGCACTGCCCCGCCCCGTTTCCTCCTCGAGTAAGGTAACTCTTGTGCATGACGCGGGCAGGGTCGCACAGTGGGCCAGAGGACCGGTGGAGGCGGCCAAATTTCTAGACGCGTTATGATCTCCAGAGTCGCTTAGTGGGACTCGAACCGAACGTGTGACCCCACCAATGGATGGCTCTCCGAACGAGGAATCCATTGGTGGGGTCACACGTTCGGTTCGAGTCCCATTTAGCGACTGTGGGGCTCAAAACGCGTCTAGAGTTTTGTCCGCCTCCACCGGTCTTCTGGCCCACAGTGCGCCGGCCGCCGAGATGGCTCGGGGCGAGGCCTCTGCTGTCTCTGTCGCACTCGGGAGGCGCGTCGGGGCCGGACGGCAGTGCGAGAGAGACAGAGAGGCAGACCGGGGTTCTGTTTGCGCAGGGCGAACCAAAGGGCCAAGGGCCGGCGCGACGCTCGCTGACAGGATTTAATGTGCGGAAGGGCTCCCTCCCATTGTTTGAAACTGTGAAACTGTGAAACTGCGCCGTGGACCGGGTAGACAGGCAGCCAGGCAGGCAGCCAGGCAGGCAGCCAGGCAGGCAGGCAAGCAGGCAGCCAAGCAGGCAGGCAAGCAGGCAGGCAAGCAGGCAGCCAAGCAGGCAGGCAGGCAGGCAGGCAGGCAGGCAGGCAGGCAGGCAGGCAGGCAGGCAGGCAGGCAGGCAGGCAAGGCAGCCAGCGAGCCAGCCAGCCCTCCACAGGTGCCTGGTAAATGTACGGCTAATTAAGGCCACCTTGTTCGCCTTGTTCGTGTTGGAGGAGACGCCTGATAATGAGGTGTCGATAGGGCACACTCCGAGCTGGTTCCCCGCTTCCCACTGAAAGGGAAACTTGAAGTAAGCGGTCGGATAGAGAAGGCGGCGCTCTGAAAGGCAAGGAACCCTGCAGAAAAAAACGCGGGCTTAAACAAAACTCATTTTTACAAACAGTTCGTTCTCTTGCGGTTCACTTCCACTACACGTCCACCCGGCTCCAATGTTTCTCCTGTCCTTTTTTTTCGCTCTGCAAGATTTCCGTCACACGAGATCTGCCAGTTTTGACTCCCTGCGTCATGGCGGGTGGCGGGGCTGCCGGGCTGGGCACCCGCTGCCAAATTCTTGATGAATATGCAAATAAATCCGCTTAATCCGACGTGCCCTTCGCCCTTGGCCGGCCGCACGCGGCGGCACGCGGCCCACAGTGGGCCAGAAGACCGGTGGAGGCGGACAAAACTCTAGACGCGTTTTGAGCTCCAGAGTCGCTAAGCAGGACTCGAACCGAACGTGTGACCCCACCAATGGATTCTTCGTTCGAAGAGCAATCCATTGGTGGGGTCACACGTTCAATTCGAGTCCCATTTAGCGACTCTGGAGCTCAAAACGCGTCTAGAGTTTTGGCCGCCTCCACCGGTCTTCTGGCCCACTGTGCGGCGGCGCGCTGGACAAGAAGGGCACCCTTCCGCTGCTTCCGTCACTTCCGCCGCCACGAATAAAGGGCAAGGGTTGGCGGAGGGGAGGGGGGAGGCCGGCAATCCTGGAAATTTACAATCGCTTGCAAATTGGCGCCGACGCGGTGCGGCCTTGCGGGCCTTGCGGGCCTTGCGGGCCTTGCCGCCTGCACTGCTCACGCGTGTCCGCGGCGCCCCGGCCACGTGGACGGCGGTCAAGGCCGCCGCCGGCACGCCGCACCCTCCGCGTCGCTCCGCCGCTCCGCCCTCCAAAACCGACACCCTCCAATCACTCACGACGACATCACCGCGCTCGACCGCGCTCTTCGTGGTGGACTCCTTCGCACGCACTTGGTGACGGCGGCGTCGTCGACGGCCACCTCGTCGACGGTGACCTTGTCGACGGCCACCTCGTCGACGGTGACCTAGTCGACGGCGACCTCGTCGACGGCGACCTCGTCGACGGCGACCTCGTCGACGGCGACCTCGTCGACGGCGACCTCGTCGACGGCGACCTCGTCGACGGCGACCTCGTCGACGGCGACCTCGTCGACGGCGACCTCGTCGACGGCGACCTCGTCGACGGCGACCTCGTCGACGGCGACCTCGTCGACGGCGACCTCGTCGACGGCGACCTCGTCGACGGTGACCTCGTCGACGGGCAACTCGTCGACGGCTTCTAGTCCTGCTTCTCCTTGAGCAGGTGCACGGCCTTCCTGATGGCGGCCAAGGCGGGCGGCGACGTCAGTGGCGGCGCGCTGCTCGGGATGACGGCGGCGTGCCGGCCCATCTGCCTGCCCGCAGCACTGGTGCCCTGCTCGGCGCTGGACCAGAGCTGGCCCGCGTACTGCAGCATCCTCGTCGCCAAGCCCGAGGACGCCGTCAGCGCCGTCGGACTTTGCACCAGGACCGCCTCGTCGTCGACGACATCTTCCTCGTCGTCGTCGTGGTGAGCTGGTGTCGTGTGCGCGTCGGACTTGTCTTGCGCTGACTGCGACAAAAAAAAAGTGCCCCCTGTGAGATTTGAACTCACGACCCCTGGTTTACAAGACCAGTGCTCTAACCCCTGAGCTAAGGAGGCGGCTGACAAGCGGAGTGCTTATCAAGGAGACGACCGAAACCTCGACTCGAGGCTGTCGGGCTTTCCCCAGTGCGTGGACGCCGCCACACAGCTCCCCCTCCTTACCCCGCGCCAGTCAGTTTACCCACGCATAACACGGCACCTTTATCTCTGAGAGTTGGTTCGACGGCACCCACTGCCCGCGACAGCAAATTGGAATTTTTTCCGCTCTGCCGCTTACTGGGCCGAACTATTGCGCAGGCCTAGGCAGGGACTGGACTCGAGGGCCTAGGCAGGGTCTTGGACTCGAAGGCCTAGTCAGGGGCCTTGTCATGTCGGCATGTATTATGAAACAGGAGGGCCCCGCACTCGGGAAAAAGAACGGAAACACCCTGATTACTGACCGTCCAGAGCAGTGGAGACATGCCGCTGGCCTTTCGCTGTCTAGCTGTCTTGATGTCGAGATGCCCAGGGCCTTCTTTGAGGCGGCTACGGCGCGAGGACAAGCTGGCCCGGCGCCTCCGGGAGTCACATTCTGAAATCAGCAGCGCGACCTGTTTAGGGTGTACCTGCCGGCCGACTCGGCTCAACACTTTTATAAGTTCGGGAGCAAAGACGGCATCCGCCACCGGATTCCGACGGACCGTTTCGTCGCTCTGTCTCTCTTGCACCGGTTCGGAACGCCCCATGAGAGCGACAGAGAGAGACAGAGGCGGCGCTTCGGATCAGCGGCTGGCAGCGGCTGATCAAACAAGGAGGCGGTAACGGGGAGAGGGTATTACGTTTATTGCGCGGTGCCGTGCAGCGCCCCGATTAGAGAGCCTTCAGCAGAGTCTCTCTCGCTGCGATCCAGGGCGTCAAACTTCGCGCCGCTGGAGGGTGGGCGCCGCACAGTGGGCCAGAAGACCGGTGGAGGCGGCCAAAACTCTAGACGCGTTTTGAGCTCCAGAGTCGCTAAACAGGACTCGAACCGAACGTGTGACCCCACCAATGGATTGCTCTCCGAACGAGGAATCCAATGGTGGGGTCTCGAATTCTGTTTAGCGACTCTGGAGCTCAAAAAGCGTCTAGAGTTTTGGCTACCTCCACTAGTGTACGTCACCGCCAAGCAGGCCGCCGAGCAGCCCCCATTACGACCACGAAGAGATTTTTCGCGCATCGCCACAGAAAGGCGACGACGGGCAGCTATTGGTTCAGGTGCGCCGATTCCCATGCCGGTGGCCGCCCCGTACGGCCGAGGCCGCCGTGGCCGTCGAGTCGAGACAGTCGGCGTCGCTGCGTTGGCAGTGCTGGCAGTGCTGGCAGGCCAAGCGTCGCCGCCAAGGTTCAAGGTTGGCAGCAGTGGCGTAGCAGTGGCGCACGGTTGGCCAGAAGACCGGTGAAGGCGGTCAAAATCCCGGACGCGTTTTGAGCTCCAGAGTCGCTGAATGGGACTCGAACCGAGCGTGTGACCCCACCAATGGATTGCTCTCCGAACGAGGAATCCATGGTGGGGTCACACGCTTGGTCCGCGTGCTATTTAGCGACTCGGAGCTCAAAACGCGTTTAGCATTTGGGCCGCCGGCGCGGATCTTGTGTAACAGTGGCGCGGCAGGCTCCACCTGCGCGTACTTTCCGCGATTTTCGTGTCTTTCGCGCTTTCCACGTCACTCCATTCCCATCAGCGATTTCCCATTTCCCACCGCGCGCGGCTCAATTTCCGGAGGAGGGGGAGGGGGGATTCCGAGCAGTGTGCCATCTTTGTCTCTCTCGCGCCGCGCCGGAACGCCGTATGAGTGTGCGAGAGAGACGGAGCGAGCGCTGTTCGGCATCATCCTGCTGCCTGGGGGCCGCGCGAGGGGCAGCCCCAGCCCGCATCCCGACCTTCCCGGAAAAGCTCCGAAAAGCGCGGAAAAGTCCTGGTCGCCAACCACGTTTGCAAGCGTGGGTACCTGGCACACGGTGGTGGCTCACTTTCGATTTCGACGAAGTCCTCCGTCGACCAGTGCTTCCTGCCTCTTCCGGGACCCTAAGGAACCCACTGTGCACGGTGCGCAGCGGGCCAGAAGACCGGTAGAGGCGGCCAAAACACTAGACGAGTTTTGAGCTCCAGAGTCGCTAAATGGAATTCGAACCGAACGCGTGACCCCGCCAATGGATTCCTCGTTCGGAGAGCAATCCATTGGTGGGGTCACACGTTCGGTTCGAGGCCCATTAAGCGACTCTGGAGCTCAAAACGCGTCCGGGATTTTGAGCGCCTCCATCGGTCTTCTGGCCCACTGTGCGCGTGGCCCCAAGGCAGGCTAAATCGCTCCGGACACTGCGCGAGGAAGGCGTCGGCAATACAAAGAGGAGCGCCAACGCCATGGCGGTCATGGACAGCACCAGGCCGTCGGGCCGCCAACGCCGCGGATAAAAAGAAATGACGTACTGCCGGGCCATATATCGGGCCGGGGCAGCAGTCGGGCATCATGACCACGCCGGGCAGCGCCGCGCCGCGCCACGCCGGGTCGCGCTAGGCCATCGGTGCCAACTTGAGGGGTGGCAGTGCCTCTCGGGGCCTCCCCACTGCTCTCCGTGCGGTCGCCGCTCGCCGCGCGCGCCGCGCCCGACCGGCCAAATCCGGGAACCGCCGGCCAGCCCCTTGTTTATCCCGCCTTAAATCCGACGGGCACCCCCTTGTTCCCGAGGGAGCGCCCCGGGGCCCGCCCCAAGCTTGCAGCCCCAAGCCCCCCGCCGTGCGTTCCCGAAGCTCCGTCTCTGTCGCTCCGTCTCCGTCGCACTCACGCGGCGTCCCGTAAGGGTGCGAGAGAGACAGAGCGACGAAACTGATCTTTCGGAAACCGCTCGGCTCGCACCGTACGCACAGTGGGCCAGAAGACCGGTGGAGGCGGTCAAAACCCTCGACGTGTTTTGAGCTCCAGAGTCGCTGAACAGGACTCGAACCGAACGTGTGACCCCCACGAACGGATTCCTCGTTTGGAGGGCAATCCATTGGTGGGGTCACACGTTCGGTTTGAGTCCCATTTAGCGACGCTGCAGCTCCAAACGCGTCTAGAGTTTTGGCCGCCTCCACGGGTCTTCTGGCCCACTGTGGAACGGGTGTCTTGCGAAAACGGTTCGCCGCGCCCCGAGTGCGCCGCGCTGCCGCGCTCGCGCCTCCCAAAACTTTGTTGTTTCAGTTTGTTCTCCCTTGACCCAGTGCGACCCAGCGCCACGGCGCGGACATGATCGTGCGGGTAAAGGCATATATTCCCGTTCCGTTGACTACTTTTACTACTGACTCGGTCGTAACGCACCCCAGGCCCTTCCCCCGAGGGGCACAATGGCGCGGGACTGGGCGCACAACGTTGTCGCCCTGCCTGTCCCTCTCTGTCTCGCACGTCTACGGGACCATGAGTGCGACAGAGACCGAGCGACACTGCTCGGAGCCAGCCTCGCGCTGCTATACGTCCTCTCCGACGGACACCCTCGCCTCATGTGTAATTTCATCTCCGCGGTCGGGCCAAGTCAGACGACGGCTGCACAGTGGGCCAGAAGACCGGTGGAGGCGGCCAAAACTCGAGATGCGTTTTGAGCTCCAGAGTCGCTAAACAGGACTCGAACCGCACGTGTGACCCCACCAGAGGATTCCTCGTTCGGAGAGCAATCCATTGGTGGGGTCACACTTTCGGTTCGAGTCCCACTTAGCGACTCTGGAGCTCAAAACGCGGCTCGAATTTCGGCCGCCTCCACCGGTCTTCTGGCCCACGTGGCGGGATGTAGGAGTGCGAGAGAGACAGGCGGCAGCGCCCCAGGGACGGGCTGTAAACCAGCAAGGTTCACGGCCTCCACGCCTTGCGCTCGTCGGAACCTAAACACCTTACTTCGCCCTGCTCACGGCCAACCCCCAAGTAGCACTCCAGCCCGCGAGTGGGTGGCGAAGGCGACCCAGTCGGACACCAGCTAAAGCCGAGACGGCCGAGACTAAAACGGCCCGGAGCACTGCGGCCAACTGATTCCGAGAGTCCTTTTCGTCGCTCTGTCTCTCTCGCACCAGTAGGAAACGCCCTATAGAGTGCGAGAGAGACAGGGCGACGAAAACGACTCTCGGAATCAGTCTGCTGCCACTCAGCAGTACCTCGTTCGCGGATGACCCCGTGTTGACACGCGACACACACAGACACACACACACGCACAAACACCGAAGGAAGGATAGACAGACTCACGCGCAGACCCTCTTAGTGTTCTGGCGCGTCCCCGGCCGCCCCGGCCAGACATAGATCATGTATCGTAAGGACGACACACTGCTGCCGACTCCAGCCGCTCCAGCAGCCCAGCCTCCAGCGCGAACGTGCTCCAGTGAACCGGAGGGCGCCGACTGGACAAATTTCTGCAGTTCCGGTCAAAATAAACTGGAGGCCGTTTTCCTTGTTCCTTTTTTCCTCAGTCTGTCGCCCCCTTATCGCGTGCCTTGGCCGAGGCGCCGTAGCCGGGTCGTTCGCCGCGCCACCCCCGCGCCGCCCCACGGTGGGCCAGAAGACCGGTGGAGGCGGACAAAACTCTAGACGAGTTCTGAGCTCCAGAGTCGCTAAATGGGACTCGAACCGAACGTGTGACCCCACCAATGGATACCTCGTTCGGAGAGCAATCCATTGGTGGGGTCACAAGTTCGGTTCGAGTCTTAGTTAGCGACTCTGCAGCACAAAACGTGTCTGGAGTTTGTCCACCTCCACCGATCTTCTGGCCCACTGTAGCGCCCCACCCCAAGTCCAGTCCGCTGCACCGCCGCCTAGGATTCCGGTTCCTGTTCCGAGAATCGTTGAATGCTCGCTCTGTCTCTCTCGCACTCGTCGGAGCAAGGAGCAAAACGGTTTGCTCGCTCCATTTCGCTCCGTGATTGGAGCGTCCCGTAATGCGTGCGAGAGAGACAGCGACGGATACGATTCTCGGAATCAGTCCGCTGCCGCTGCCGATTACGCAACCGGACGGGCCGAAGGTTGTCGGACAGCGTCCCCCGAGCGGCCGAGAGCGCAGCGCACAGCCCCTGCACTGCAGCCTGCAGGACTCCCCCCCCCCTTCCCCTTCCCCCTCCCCGCCGCCGGGACCGCCGGGCGCAGGGAGGTTCCCACGTTCCCACGGTCGGGTCGCGCCCCTGGACCTGGAGGACGAGGACGGTCACTCTCTCCGTCAGTTCTGTCAGTCAGCCGGTCTGAGTCACACCGCGCGTCCGCGTACTCGGTGACACAGTGCCGCGACCACGTGACCTGCGAGCAAGTCGTCCCAGCACAACCCCTACGATGGTGGTGCCCTACTCGAGCTACCCGACCATCAACCAGCTGATCGGGATGACCGTGGACGCCGCCGCCACCGTGCCCCCGCCGTGGAGGCGCCGCGGTCCGCGCAGCAGCACTTCGTCCACCTGCTGCAGGAGGCGGAGCGCCGCCACCGCGACACGCTGCAGCGCGCCATCCAGGCCGAGACGCAGGTGCAGCAGCTGCGGCAGGTGTTCCAGCAGTGGCAGCGGCAGCTGCAGCAGCAGATGCGGCAGCGGCTGGCCGACAGGGAGTTGCAGCAGCGGCAGGTGCAGCGCCAGATGCAGGCGCTGTACGACGCGCAGCAGCAGGTGCGCAGGAAGGTGGACGAGATGGCCGTCTTCCAGCAGCTGCACGCCTTCAGCCACCAGCAGCACCTGGGGCAGGTGCAGCTGCAGGTGTTGAGCCTGGACCGCGGGCAGCGCGCCGAGCGCCGCAGCAGGCAGGCTCTGCAGCGACAAGTGAGCCAGACCAGGAGGTCGACCTTGCGACAGAGCCGCGCCGTGCCGGCCGCCAGGGACGCCTGCGACCAGGACAACTGCAACCGGACCGTGTGCAACCAGGCCGACTGCAACCAGGACGACTGCTGCCCCTGCGAATTCCCGGAGGACTGCCCCTTCAACCGTAAGTGTCAAGTCAAACTGTTTGCATTTCGTTTGGGCCCAACAGGCAGTGGCGTGCACAGATCGCCTCCTCGGGAGGCGCGGTGAGACCATTTTTTGAGAGATTTTGCATAACTTCCAGGGGACAAAACCTCCCTTGTGCACGCCCCTGTCAACAGGCAGCAACAGGCCCGCTGCGCTGCCGGGCGATGGCGGAGTATTCACGAGCCGGTAGATACCCCATGCTTGCGGGCGCGCCGTCAAGGGGTATCGTCGCGGCAGCGCAAGCAGTGGCTTTCCCTCCCACTCGCCCTCTCATTTGATCTCGTTTGACGGTTTCCAAGCCTAACTATTGCCATGTGTTTGAGTGTTAATTTCACTGTAAAGTCTCAAGTCCTTAACCCAACCAAAAGTGCAATTTCTCAAACTAGACCAAGACCACTCTTCAGTCTTCGATTATTAATGTCGCCATGTTTTGTCCCCAGCTTGTTTACCCAGTGATTGCTTCGACGCAGAAATTCCAGAAGGTCCCACAGATAACTGTTTACTACGAGACATTCGCCTTGGCTTAGTGCAGCCCCCATCTTGCATCGAGTGTGAACCTCAAGGTCCAGATGCAAGGAAAACTAGGCGGCGCACTAGATGTGATTCAGAGGTGAGATGATTGTTTTATATACAGTTTTATCGATGGATTTAATGGTTACCTATTTATTAACCCAACGCTAATTTTGCATTTGCCTCCAGGCTGAATCTGGGTACGATGCTGATGATGAAGCAAGCTCGTTCTCAACAGCATCCTCGGCAAGCAGTAGTGCTTTCATCAAGGAAAGACGCCAAATTTTGCAAGAGGTCAGAAGTTTGGAGAACATTCGGCTAGCTCCACGCTACAAGGAGATTTGGAGGCCCCTCAGATGTTTCCATTGTGGAAGGCCAGATCACCTTGCATCTTTCTGTCCTAAATTGCCAACTACAACTCTATGAAAATGTTCTAGCAGTGTAGCAGGTTCAAGAATCATTGGTGTAAATCAATCTCAAAGCTGCATTATTTTAACTTTCGTGTTTCAGTGTAGAAATTAGGATAGGAAAAATTGTAATAAAATCCAACATAATTTTTTTTACATTTATTAAAAATAAATGCTCTTAAACTAGTTTACTTCTTGGCCTCCAGCTTGGCTTTCCTCTCTGCGGCCCGCTTGAGCTGAGCCTTGGGCTTCAGGTTGCCTTTCCTTGAGTACTTCTGGTTCTTCAGGAACTTAGCGTCCACCTGAAACAAAAACCATCACAAAATATTTTTAAAAAGGGTACCAAATATATTTTTTCAAAGCACACCACTTCCAAAAAACGAGTCAGCCAGGGGATTAGGCACTACTCAAAATGTGGGTGCATACTCTTTGAATAAACTCTTTGAAAAAAAGTTTGAATAAACACTGAACAAAACCAAGCAAATTATTAAGGTGCTAAACTGGGCCTTTCAGCGTTCACGTTGTCAGTCAAAATCGTATCAGCAGACCGTCGTGAAATAGGCTCATCACAAAGAAACCAGCTTCAAACATGGTTGTACCCACTCTTTGGCCCATAACAGCAACAAATGCATTTATGGTTCCTATATACAGGGGGTTCTATTTCCCCTTTGCATGGCAGACTGACATGAATAGTCATGAAATCTGTGGCGTTGAGCTAAGGGTTGAAGTTGAGATAAAAACTGAAAAGTCCCAAGACAGTCCTACAATACCATAAGGTGCCAAACTGGAGCTCTCAGAATTCACGTCGTCAGTCAAAATCAATTCAGCAGACCGTCGTGAAATAGACTCATCATGAAGAGACCAGCTTCAAACAAGGTTGTACCCACTCTTTGGCCCATAGCAGCAACATGTGCATTTATGGTTCCTATATACAGGGGATTCTATTTACCCCTTGCCTGGCAGACTGACATGAACAGTCATGAAATCTGTGGCGTTGAGCTAAGGGTAGAGCCCAAAGTTTCAATAAACGCTGAACATAGTCCTACTAAACCATAACGTGCTAAACTGGGGCTCTCAGAATTCACATTGTCAGTCAAAACCATATCAGCAGACCGTCGTGAAATAAGCTCATCATAAAGAAACCAGCTTCAAATATGATTGTACCCACTCTTTGGCCCATAACAGCGACATGTGCATTTATGGTTCCTATATACAGGGGGTTCTATTTCCCCCTTGCCTGGCAGACTGACATGAACAGTCATGAAATCTGTGGCGTTGAGCTAAGGGTTAAAACTGAAATCCTACAAAACCATAAGGTGCCAAACTGGAGATGTCAGAATTCACATTGTCAGTCAAAATCGTTTCAGCAGACCGTCGTGAAATAAGCTCATCATAAAGAAACCAGCTTCAAACATGGTTGTACCCACTCTTTGGCCCATAACAGCAACAAATGCATTTATGGTTCCTATATACAGGGGATTCTATTTACCCTTTGCATGGCAGACTGACATGAACATTCATGAAATCTGTGGCGTTGAGCTAAGGGCATGGAAAGAAGTTTGGAACAATCATGGTCTGAAGCTTCACTTAAGCTACAAATGATTGGCTACTTCGTATTGCTGTGGTCTTTCTTACTATAGACAATGAATCAACTTACACCAAGTTTGGATTCATGCCTGAATCTCTTGGGCCTCTTGATGCCATTCCTGTGAGCCTTCTTGTCTGTAACAAAAACAACCATAATGTTAATGTGGAGAGAATCGAAAATAGTCAAAGCATACTGTGGACAATAGTATCAAGCTCTCAGAAAGACTAATCATACAATCACAGATGTCAAGAAATGACATTGTTCATCACAGAGCAAGATATCAAACTTCCTCAATTTAGAGCATTATTTAAGGGCTTGCCCTCAAGACGATATCAAAAATGGTGCGCTGGTCCTGACCAGGGTAAATCTTACAGACTTTATATACTGCTCTCAGAAAGACTAATCAAACAATCACAGACATCAAGATATGACATTGATCATCACAGAAAATGCAGCAATTCGGAAGAGGGTGTTAACACCAACCAAAGCGGCTCTCAAAGTAACAAATAACAAGTATTTAAAGGCTGTCTTGGATCGCCAATTTCAGATTGAGTACCCACTTCTCAATGTGAAAAATCATTTTAAAAAATTTACATAGGTAAGAACCCTCAGCAAGACTAATCAAACCATCACAAGCAGTATGGTAAAGGACAATTGTCGTCACAGGGTGAAAACTGAGCGCAGCAAGCACAGCGGGAGGAGTCGGCACACCATAACAAATGGCATAACCCTACTTAACATGGAACTGCACTGGGATAGCGTTACAAAAAATACAAACTGGCACGAGCAATTCCTTCAATAAAATGCTAAAACGCTCCAAAATGGGGCGACTTCCAGAGATATCAAGAAATTAAAACTGAATTAGGAAACGCCGACCGGATAGGTCGTGGCAGGACACAGACACGAAACTACGAACTTACTTTGGTTGTGATTTGTGTGGTTCTTTGACTTCGCCATTATGTACGGTGCGAGATCCTGTAAAGATAAGAAAGAGGTTCAGACAGAGAAAAATTGCGAACGAGGATCAACATTTAAAAGTGTCCCGTCCGTAAGGAGGTTATGTTTTCGTCGAAGGTAGGGGCCATGGGAGGCCGCACAACAGTCCAGCATAGTGGACTTTCGGTTCGAAATCAGGCAAAGTTCAGCCATTTTCGGCAAATGGACACTTCAAACTTTCAACTAACAACAAATGGAGAACAATGTCTCACAGAAATAAGGAAGATGTCCGGAGATAAAAATACGGACACGCTAATACTCACTCTTTTCGACAACTACGACAACCGGAAAAGGAAGCGTCGCGCGCGCTCAAGCGACTCGCACGACGCCCGCAAGTTGTCCAACTGCACGGCAACGCATTTCAAACCGTCATCAAGGAAACCAACCAGTACTTCACACAGCGAAATACATTTCAATCGATTTCTTATTTTTTCATACAAAATTGAGCTGTTTCGTTGGTGTTTCTACGGCTATTTCCGAACCTTGTTTTGTGTTGGCGTTTGTCTAGCCTGCAGCTGGCGCTCGCAGTCTCAGCCAATCAGGATCGAGCGTCACAGCGCGGGCGCTTCGAACGGCTTCGCGCCTCGCAGCGACTCGCCAGGCAACATGAATGCCGTCACATATTTTGAGTAACAGTTTTCGAATGACGCACAGTGGGCCAGAAGACCGGTGAAGGTGGCAAAAATTCTGGAGGCGTTTTGAGCTCCAGAGTCGCTGAATGGGACTCGAACCGAACGTGTGACCCCACCAATGGATTCGTTGTTCGGAGAGCAATCCATTGGTGGGGTCACACGTTCGGCCCGAGTCCCATTTGGCGACTCTGAAGCTCAAAACGCGTCTATAGTTTTGGCCGCCTCCACCGGTCTTCTGGCGCACTGTACAGGGTCGATACATGGCAATACTGGGAGGTGAGCAGCGCTTTTCACCTTTCCCGCCAAGTTGATGCCAAGCAGACGGAGAGCTGCGAGTCCTTCCGTGACGCGGGTCGTTCGGACCCCATCAGAAAGCAGACTGATTCCGGGAGTCGCTTTCGTCGCTCTGTCTCTCTCACACAAACCAGGGGGCGGCCCGCGAGTGCGACAGAGACAGAGCGAGGGAAACGACTTTCGGCCGCGAAACAATCAGCGATCGAGGTCGATCGGAAAAGGGAAAAGCTGCAAAGGGGCCAAGGCCGTGCCGAACTCGGCGCCAATTCTGTTTCAAGTGGGGAAGCAGAGAGTCGGGTTGGCCGCTCGCAGTCGCCTTCTGGGTCAAAGCGCCTCCAACCAGTGTAGCCTCAGGCGGCGGAAGTGCCCACGATGCACCGGTGTCGAAAGGTTTGCCAACCTGCGTTTCCAATAATTGTTAATTTTTCTTGTTTTTTCAGTTTTTTTTTTTGTAGAAATTTGGGGAGGGGGGTGGCAATGAAATGACGCGAGGGTCGCGGCGATTCCGGCAACATGGAAGCCCTTATCACCCGCCGTCCAAATCAATGACGGGCGTTCCCGCAGTGTGTGTGTGTGTGTGTGTGTGTGTGCATGTGCATGTGTGTGTGTGCGAGAGACACGTGCCGCATCGGGCAGTCGATGAAAGAGAAGTAGATGCGGTCGACATGCACGGTGGCAGTGTTCACTGCCAAGGGCAGGGCCGCACCACCACGGCCACACTAGGGCCACTAGGGACAGCGACAGACAGACAGACAGACAGACAGACAGACAGACAGACAGACAGACATGCAGCCACAGGCAGCGAGGCACGTTTGACGCGCACGCCGCATTGGTGGCCGTTCGGTCGATCGACTCGTCAGGAACGCCACCGCCACGGGGAAGTCTGTCCAGTGTGTCAACCTCGTCAACCTGCGGCGGCGCGGTGACGTCACTACCCCTGGCCGACCCACAGAACCTAAAATTGGAACATTGTTACCGATGGGCCTGTGCAGTGCACAGTGGGCCAGAAGACCGGTGGAGGCGGCCAAAATTCTAGACGCGTTTTGAGCTCCAGAGTCGGTAAACAGGACTCGAACAGAAAGTGTGACCCCACCAATGGATTCCTCGTGTGGAGAGCAATCCATTGGTGGGGTCACACGTTCGGTTCGAGTCCCATTCTGGCCGACTGTGCTGTACTGTCCGCGAAACAGCCCGCCAATTACCAAAACACACCTTGCGTGGCGGGGCCGTGCCGCCGTGCCGGCCAGGCGAGGCATGGTCAAAGTCACATAACAACAACGGTATTGATCGCCAGTCCTGCGTGCCCCGATGGCTCCCATTTTCAAGGTCACCTCGTCGCCTCCCCTCTCACTCACTCCCTCTCTCTGCGTTTTGCTTTCGATATTCCGATTGCCACTTGGGGTGGCGCTTCGCCCCGCCTCTACTGGCGCGAAACTGTTTACGACTTGTATTGTTTTACGGTGGGTCGCCGCTGTGACCACCGCAGGTCAGCTGGTCGCTGCGCAATCGCTGCACGTCGTTGCGGCAACAAGCGTCCATCGTCGCGGCCAGGCAATTGTTTCCAGGCACTGCCCCCCAGATTTGTCACTTTTGGACAGACAATTTCCTGTCGCCGCCGAGCCTGCCCCGAACGGCCCCGAACGATGAGGGTGGGGTCGGGGCGCGAGTACTTCCGCGGCACAGTGGGCCAGAAGACCGGTGGCGGCGGCCAAGACTCTAGACACGTTTTGAGCTCCAGAGTCGCTAATTGGGACTCGAACCGAACATGTGACCCCACCAATGGATTGCTCTCCGGACGAGTAATCCATTGGTGGGGTTGGTGGGGTCACTCGTTCGGTTCGATTCCTTTTTAGCGACTCTGGAGCTCAAAACGCGTCTGGGATTTTCACTGCCGGCGCCGGTCTTCTGGCCCACTGCGCGTTTGAACGCGGCCTCCGCCGGAGAGGTGGACAAAATGTGACCTTTCAAATGCGCACGGTGAATAGAAGCCCACTTCATTACTTCAAGAATAACCGCCGAAACGCACAGCACTCATTTGCATACGACGGGGTGAACGGCCTGGCCCTCCTCTCTCTCTTCTCTTTTCTCTCTTCTCTCTCTCTCTCTCTCTCTCTCTCTCTCTCTCTCTCTCTCTCTCTCTCTCTCTCTCTCTCTCTCTCTCTCTCTCTCTCTCTCTCTCTCTCTCTCTCTCTCTCTCTCTCTCTCTCCCCCTCTCTCTGCCCTCCGACTCGCCCGGTGCGTTCAGCTCCCCGTCTCTGTCGCACTCCTCGCAAGGTGCGCCCCTTTCACGGATAGGGTTGCCCCTAGGCCCCAGGTCGTTGCCCCTGCCCGAGGGGCCCAAAGCTGGCCCCTGCAAGGGTGGCAACCCTACCTCTGGCCACGGCACTGTTCTTCCTGGCCGCGGCTTCCGCATTGCAGCCGTCGGGCCGCGCTCGGCTACCGCAGCGAAACTTGGACGACGCCGGTCGAGACATCGCCGGAAAACCTGACGGCTTGGCGATTTTGCTCGTCCACGCACTCTGTTCGCGAAAAGCAGCGCTGGCAGTACGGACCGCAAGCGCCGTGCGCGTAGGCAACCGCTTGGCTTCAGCGCAGAGGTGTGTTGCGGGTTGCCTACCCGAACCTCGTTAGGCGCTGACCTACTGCACATTGGGCCAGAAGACCGGTGGAGGCGGTCAAAATCCCGGACGCGTTATGAGCTACAGGGTCGCTAAATGTGACTGGAACAGAACGTGTGACCCCACCAATGGATTGCTCTCCGAACGAGGAATCCATTGGTGGGGTCACACGTTCGGTTCGAGTCCCATTTAGCGACTCTGGAGCTCAAAACGCGTCTTAGATCAGGGACAGTGTACTGGTATCCATCCAAGACGCTCCGCGCTGGGCGGAATAAAACCAAAGCGAGCGCGAGGCAACGAGGCGTCGCCTTCCTAAAACGACTCGGGCGGTGGGAAGAGAGCGTGGGCCGCGATGAGTGCACTCAGTGTACCGCCTGAAAAATAAAGGGGGGGGCACAGTGGGCCAGAAGACCGGTGAAGCGGCCAAAACTCTAGACGCGTTTTGAACTCCAGAGTCTCTAAATGGGCCTCGAACCGAACGTGTGACCCCACCAATGGATTGCTCTCCGAACGAGGAATCCATTGGTGGGGTCACACGTTCGATTCGAGTCCCGTTTAGCGACTCTGGAGCTCAAAACGCGTCTAGAGTTTGGCCGCCCACCGGTCTTCTGGCCCACTGTGGGGGGAATTTTGTGCGGCAGGTGACGTCGCTCGGATTCCCGAAACGAGCGTCGTTCCAACGACTCGGCTGAAGTAAGCGTGGCCGGATGAGTGCACCAGTAGCCTTGGGGGGCGCCTATGGTCGCACGACTGGCACACCGAAATCCTGCCCGAAGTCGCGTCCGGCAGCAATGTAAGTCGTTTGAGAATGATGAAATTAGACGGATACGAGACGTACGCGACTCGACGCTCCATTGACCTTAAATGAGCGTTACGTCAGAATGCTAGCGGACCGTGCGCAGTGGGCCGGAGGACCGGTGGAGGCGGCCAAAACACTAGGCGCGTTTTTAGCTCCAGAGTCGCTAAACAGGACTCGAACCGAACGTGTGACCCCACCAATGGGTTCCTCGTTCGGAGGGCAATCCATTGGTGGGGTCACACGTTCGGTTCGAGTCCCATTCAGCGACTCTGGAGCTCAAAACGCGTCTAGAGTTTTGTCCGCCTCCACCGGTCTTCCGGCCCACTGTGCCTACACGCGGGCCTCGCCGCTTTTTCGGCGTTGTGCGCACTGATAGCGCTCACGAGGAAAGCCTGCGGGAAGTTTACCGCGCCAGCAGCCCAAAAGGGTCATCGCCCGCGAGGACCAAGACGGAGAGGCCAGCGAGCAACTTTCCGGGTGTGTTTGTTCATTTTAGTCGTTAGGTGCGGCCCAGGTCCTGGGCCCCTGGCTGGATACACTGACATTAGTGAAAAGATGTGCCTTTTTTTACCTGCGGGGGTTCCGCGTAAATGTTTCCCGTAGTTTACATGTGCGGCATTCGTACATAACAGCGTATCTACAATGGGATTTCCTATGAAGATACGTTGTTCTGTCAGATGGTCACTCGCATGAGGTGCGGATTATGGAGAACCTGGCAGACTGTTTTGCATTCTGCAAGCGCAGACTTTGTGCGGCGCTCGGGACAACCGAACAACCACCGCACGAGCCTCGGCCGCACACCAAGAAAGCACCAGCGGCGACCCCGGAGGCGTTGTACCCGTTCCACCCCACCGTAAAACCCCCTCCCCCCCGTTTTCGTCCGCGGCTCCGCGGCGCCATCCGGCAACCAATAGGGCATTGAATAGGGCTCCGTCACGCACGGGGCTCCTTCTTCGCGCCATTCGTGCAGTGTGTCTGTCTCTCTCGCACCCCTACGGCCCTACGGCACGTCCCATGAGTGCGAGCGAGACGGCGCCGCGCTTCGGAATCAGCCTGTCGCACTGTCGCGATGAACCGAGGAACCCCGAAAACCACTCGAGAAATCCTGTGACCCGTGGTCCCCTAGAGCGCTCAAAATCTCTGGAAACCCGCAGCTTGTACAGTGTGGTGGCGCGTAGCACAGTGGGCCGGAAGACCGGTGGAGGCGGCCAAAACTCTAGACGCGTTTTGAGCTCCAGAGTCGCTAAGTAGGACTCGAACCGAACGTGTGACCCCACCAATGGATTGCTCTCTGAACGAGGAATCCATTGGTGGGGTCCCTGGCGGCAGTTCGCCGCACTGTCTCTCTCGCACCCGCACGCTACGCTCCATGAGTGTGAGGGAGAGGGCGGGAAGGGGTGAGGGGGAGGCGGCGACCTAGGGCGGTGCGCCGCGCGCTCAGGGACTGGACTGGGGGTGGTTCGACCTGGAGGGGACGGCGTTTACGTTGAGGCCAGTTGCGGCGCGGAGGCGGCGGCAGGCGCACGACGGCGAGCCCCTCCGTCTTGCTGTGTCTCGGGACCGACTCCCTGGTGGCAACCCTAGCGGCGGCGGCGACCCGTACGCCCGGCGCGGCACTGCACGCCGCCACCCCCGCGTCGCGTCCAGCCTGCAGAGTATCATGTTCACGACCAGGACGCGCGCCGAGCTTCCCACGACCGCCAAGCGGGCAGCACGCCGAGACTTGTGTCCGCCCAAATAGGGCACCGCGCATGACACACCGCCGCGCCGTGCCGCCGTCATCCTGGGCGTCCTGGACCACGACGCGCCGCGACGTCATCAACACCAACAAAACAACAACAAGCAGCAACAAGAGCTGCAGCGCGCCGCCGCGCCGCCGCGCCGCTCTCACGTGCCGGGCGTGGGCGCACGGGTCTTGTTGTTGCTGAGTCACCTGGCGGGGCCCCCGGTCCCCTGGCCGGTCCAGCGCCGTCCGAAGCTCTCGCCGCGACAGTCCGCCAGTCCGACCGGGCGCCCCGATGCTGCGGGACGGAGGGCCGCCGCCGCCACCAGGACGACCAAGACCGCGATGAAGCTCAAGACCCGCGGCGCGGCCAAGACGCTGAGCTTGGCGCTGGACACGTCGACGTGGCCGCCGAAGGGCCGCGGCAGGGACGCCGACGATGGCGGCCGGCCGCGCACCGCCACGCTGGACAAGCCGGTCGTGCTGGACATCGCCCTGCTCGGCCACCTGGACATGACGACGCTCACGCGCCGCGGCCTGCTCAACGTGTGTCGTAAGGGCGTCGTCGGCGTGCTCGCGGCCACGCCGAGCCCCAAGCCGCCGCGCCGCGCCTCCAGGGCGTCCTCGCGGTCCGACGCGTCCAGCGACGAGCAGCAGCTGACCCCCGTGGCCGGGCGCCGGCCCCGCGGCGGCGGCGCGCTCGTCCGCCAGAAGAAGGCCGTCATCGAGGAGGACGACGAGGACGAGAGCAGCTGGGCGGAGGACGAGCAGCGCTTCGGCACGTACCGCGTGCGGCGCAACAACCGCCTCAACCGCACCTTCCGCGTCCCGGCGCTGAAGAGGCAGCGGCCGCCGCTCAGCAACCTCAACAACAACGAGCTCGTGCCCGCCGCGCCCAGCGCCATGGACGCCAAGCCCGGCCGGCGCCGCGGCCTGGGACTCGGCCTCGAGGACATCCTCGCCGCGCGCGAGCAGGTCCCGGAGCCGTGCCGGACGTGCGGCCGGCCGGAGCTGCCGGAGCGACTCCACAGCCACCCCAAGCAGCCCGGCAAGGCCAACCAGGGCAACGTCAAGGGGCACCTGCCGCTCGCCGCGCCGCAGCCGCAGCTCCGGGTGCCGCAGCCCGACCTGCCCGTCAAGAACGTCGTCAAGAAGCCCGTGGCCATCAAGTACCGGCCGCGGCGGGGCTCCGAGGGCGCCGACGCGCCGGTCGCCGTCCACTCCCCCGCGCCCAAGGGCTTCAAGGCCGCGTCCAGGAGGGCCTCGCCGTCGAAGGGCTCGCCGGTCGCCAAGGGCGCCTTCCTGGTGACGCACTTCGTGGACGCGGACAGCCCCGCCAGCCCCTCCCGGGCGGCGCGCGGGCCCCGGATCGTCGTGTGCTACGTGTGTGGCAGGGAGTTCGGCACGGCGTCGCTGCCCCTGCACGAGCCCCAGTGCATCCAGGTGAGCGCCCGCCTCGGCCTACCCTGCCGCACAGTGGGCCAGAGGACCGGTGGAGGTGGTCAAAATCCCGGGCGCGTTTTGAGCTCCAGAGTCGCTAAATAGGAACTCGAACCGAACGTGTGACCCCACCAACTGATTGCTCTCCGAACGAGGAATCCATTGGTACGGTCACACGCTCTGTTCGAGTCCTGTTTAGTAACTCTGGAGCTCAAAACGCGTCTAGAGTATTGACCGCCTCGCCGGTCTTCCGGCCCACTGCGTGCCGCCGCCAAATTGCTCTCGTTTGCCTTGCCTGTCTCTGTCGCACTCGCGAATTTATTACCGCGAAAACGGTCTCGCGTCGCGTGGCTGGTGAATTCCCAGACCGCCGCGCCCGATTTGGCGGCGGCCCGTTAGGGCAGAGAGAGAAAAGGGGGAAGGGGGGGGGCCTCTGTTATTATGGCGCGGGAAATCGAAACAAGTCCGGAGCACGGTTCGGCACGGTTTGACAAGAGGCTCAGAGGGAATCCCGGGACGGTCGCGATGAGCGCCCCCCGTTCCGGAACCACAGCGGAGGTATAATGGTGAACGTGGTGAATCTTCACCACAGAAATTTTCACCACAATAGGGAGAATCTTCACCACGATAACGGAGATTCTTGGGGCGCGGTGGCCTTGCCAAGGCCATCCGGCAGGGCTCGCTTGCTGCCTTTATTGACGAGTGCACTCCGGCTGCGTGTGGCACACTGTGCATTTTTGCAGACGCTTGTAGAGGGGGAAAGGGGGTTGCTCTACTTTACCGAGTCAAGGCCAGGTCGACCAGCTCCGCTGCCGGGGTGTGCCGGCGGGCAGAGAGCTCCTTGGCGGTGCAGCACTGGGTTGCTCTGTCTCTTTCGCACCGCAGGGGCATCGCGCAGCGCGTAGGGGTGCGAGAGAGACAGAGCGCGAAGCCTCCCGCTTGACCTTTCCAGTCCACACGTCGCACAGTGGGCCAGAAGACCGGTGGAGGTGGCCAAAATTCTAGACGTCTTTTGAGATCCGGACTGCCGTCTCTCTCGCACTCATGGAGCGTCCCGTCTGCGTGCGAGAGAGACACCGGCGGATGACGTCACCGCCGAATGGCACTGCAGTCCGCCAGTGACGTCACGCGCCGCGAATAGGCTGCTTTCCCTGCTTTGGCCGGCGTGTTGCTTGCGTTGCATGGAGGCCGCGCTATTTCCAGCGTGCTAGACCGTTACTGGAAACTCCAGGAACGGAACGGGGTGGCGGCCAAAACTCTAGATGCGTTTTGAGCTCCAGAGTTGCTAAATGGGACTCGAACCGAACGTGTGACCCCACCAATGGAACCCTCGTTCGGAGAGCAATCCATTGGTGGGGTCACACGTTCGCTTCGAGTCCTGTTTAGCGACTCTGGAGCTCAAAACGCGTCCAGAGTTTTGTCCGCCTCCACCGGTCTTCTGGCCCACTGCGTGGCGGCAGGCAGGCCGATGCCCGTGTTGATGGTGTCGATTGTCCATCGCCATGGGAACCAGCAGCGTCCCTCGACCCTTCCCCGGCCCAGCCGAGGCAGCCGAGCCGAGCCACGCCGCCCCGCGGGGGGAGCCGTCATGGGCACATAACACCACCGCGGCTTGGCAAAACAAAAGTGGAAAAAGGAAAAAAAAATAGAAAAAGTCCGAGTGGAAACTGGGAAGAAAGAGAAAAAAAAACAGTGAAATCCGGAACCGGTTCCAGGGTGAGTTTACTGCCGTGTCACCGAGACGGCGGGGTGCCGTGCTTCGCTGTGCGTCCACGATGTTATTCCTCTTGAATGGAGCTGAGAGACGACGGGCACTGCAATTCTGGTGTGGGGTGAGGTAGCCTCGCGCGGGGCACCGACTTGAGGCGGAGCCCCCGCAGCCCCGGCGCCGTTCGGCAGGCAGTAAAGAAAGAGAGAGGGGGTGTCATTTTCTGCACATCGCCATCCATGAGGCGGGCGGGTGCGCCGACCTCTGTGCCTCTTCGTTGGTGCACTGTTGGAAATAATGCTGTTTCTAGCAGCGTGGTGCTGCCCTCCGCACAGTGGGCCAGAAGACTGGCGCCGGCGGCCAAAACTCTATACGCGTTTTGAGCTCCAGAGTCGCTAGATGGGACTCGAACCGAACGTGTGACCCCACCAATGGATTCCTCGTGCGGAGAGCAATCCACTGGTGGGGTCACACGTTCGGTTCGAGTCCCATTTAGCGACTCTGGAGCTCAAAACGCGTCTAGAGCTTTGGCCGCCTGCGCCAGTCTTCTGGCCCACTGTACTCCGCGGCCGCCTCCCTTTGGACGCCGTGAGCAAAAGCGCCATAGAAATACTGCTTCTATTCCTGTTCTGCGAGGCGCGGCTCGAGTCGACCTTTGGCCCGGGGCGCTGTTGAAGCGTACGCCCCTAGATGCAATAAACCAGGGTCGCGACTCCCCCCCCCTTTTTCTGGTGCCGCACCTTGACGGGTGGCAGGGTGGCTCCGTGGTGCCTAGCACGGTTCGCCACCCTCGCGGCACCCCCCCCCCACCCCCACCCCCAGCGTCATCTCATCGACAAGGGGTTGGCCCGGGTCGGCGTGGGGTAGGATATGGCCGCCGGAGAGAAGTTTGTCCCGCCCTTCACCCGAACTGCAATGCGGACCTGAATCTGAATGTGCTCTCTCTGTGCTTTCCAGCGATGGCAACTGCAAAACTCGAAGCTCCCCCCGCAGTGGCAGAGGCACCTGCCCGAGAAGCCCGCCGGCCCCATCACCGTCGAGGACTGGAACAAGTTCGCCTGGGACTCGTCTAAGGTGAGACTCATTCGCTGAGCTGCCCCGTCGCGCGGGAGGCGGACAAAACTCTGGACACGTGAGTCACCAGACATAACTCGAACCGAACGTGTGGACCCCGCCAATGGATTCCTCGTTCGGAGAGCAATCCATTGGTGGGGTCACACGTTCGGTTCGACTCCCATTCAGCGACTCTGGAGCTCAAAACGCGTCCAGAGTTTTGGCCGCCTCCGCTGGTCTTCTGGCCCACTGTGCGCCTCAAGTCTTGAAGCCGAGGCGGAATGAAAAATTGTTGGAAACACTGTGCAACTCGGTCAGCGGCCCATTATTCAAATGCGCTGGGGGCGTGCCTGCGTCGCTGTCTCTCTCGCACTCGCAGGGCGCTCCGTAAGGGGTACGGGTGCGAGAGAGACAGAGCGACGGAGCGAGTCGGCGGGCTGACCCAGTGGTGCCCAGTGGCGCTCGGTCTCCTCTGGTCGGCAATTGCATACTGCGACGGCGCGAGCTTTCAGCGCGGCTTCCAGTGAACCAGCGGAGGAAACCAGCCGGAGGTTTTATAGTGTGGTAATCGCAGAAAGGGGGGCTGCCGGGTAGAGCAGTTGCGGCGGAAGGGGGCGCAGTGGGCCAGAAGACCGGTGGAACCGGCCGAAACTCCAGACGCGTTTTGAGCTCCAGAGTCGCTAAAAGGGACTCGAACTGAACGTGTGACCCCACCAATGGATTGCTCTCCGAACGAGCAATCCATTGGTGGGGTCACACGTGTGGTTCAAGTCCTGTCTAGCGACTCTAGAGCTCAAAACGTGCCTAGAGTTTTGGCCGCCTCCACCTATCTTCTGGCCCACTGTAGGGAGGGGAGGGAGAGGCAACCCGGAGTACAAAGCGTCTTACTTGTTTTTAATGTCGCTAGCAGGGAAAAGTAGGTTATCTTGACGTCCTCAGAAGAAATAGTCCCATGCATTTAGACAGGCGGGAGAAGAGCGGATACACTTAGCCAAGTGTGGCAGCCACTGCGCTGGGAGAAAGGGGTAAAAGTACGCTTGAGATCTGTCAGTATGCCTGACCTGCCTCAGCCGCCCCCAGCCGCCCCCAACCACCCCCAGCCGCCCCCACCATGACGCACACCGGCGAGGACTTCGCCCTGGTGGTGTACGGCCCCGACGACGACCGCCGCGCCCGGTCCCCGCCCCCAGCCCCGCCCCCGCCCCGCCCCCGCGACGGCCCGGCCGGCCAGGACGACGGCCAGGACGACGTCGACGACCGGCGAATCGTGCCCCCGGCAAGCCGGAAGGCCTACATGGAGGTGCTCAGGACCAACTGGTTCCACCTCAAGAGTGACGAGTACCTCGTGAGTCGCGGGGCAAACTGCGAGTTTACACAGAATCATTGGGGCGTTGCACAGTGGGCGTGGTCAAAATCCCGGACGCGATTTTAGCTCCGCAGAGTCGCGAGACGGGACTCGACCCAATGGACCCCACCAATGGATTTCTCGTTTGGAGAGTAATCCATTGGTGGGGTCACACGTTCAGTTCGAGTCCCATTCAGCGACTCTGGAGCTCAAAACGCGTCTAGGATTTTGGCCGCCTGCCACTGCGGGGTTGCTTTGTGCGTGTCTGTTGGCCCTCTGAAATTCAAAGACGCGAGTGAGCGTGAGCAGAAACCGCCGAAGTGCTTTTTGTGAGAGTGTGCCTTGTTGCAGAGAGCGGACTCCGTCCAGTGCCCCAACTGCCTGCGCCGCTTCTGCCCGGACCGCATCAACTCGCACGAGCGGGTGTGCTTCAAGAAGCAGCACGCCGTCGGAGGAGTGAGTCGGCACCGCTCTGTCTCTCTCGCACTCATGGGGCGTTCCCTCTGGTTCCGCCGCGGTCCGTCTCGCGAGAGAGACAGAGCGATGAAACCAATCGGAATCGGTCTGCCGTTGCACAGTTCTTGTCAAATCGGACTATGGTTTCCGTTGTTCCTTCGCCTCACAGTGGGCCAGACGACCGGCGGCGGGGAACGAAACTCTAAACGCGTTTTGAGCTCCAGAGTCGCTAAATGGGACTCGAACCGAACGTGTGACCCCACCAATGGATTGCTCTCCGAACGAGGGAACCATTGGTGGGATCACACGTTCGGTTCGACTGTTCAGCGACTCTGGAGCTCAAAACGCGTCTAGAGTTTTGGCCGCCTCCACCGGTCTTCTGGCCCACTGTGTGTCTGTTTCTAACTCGAGCACTCGCTCTTCTCCTCCAGGAGCCGCAGTCGCAGGCCGACTCCATCGGGTCCATGGGGTCGCGCGGCGGGCGCAGCTCCCCGCTGGTGGAGTGCTACCTCTGCGGCAAGAAGTTCGGCACGCGCTCCATCGGCATCCACGAGCCGCAGTGCCTCAAGAAGTGGCAGCAGCTGCACGGCGAGGACGCCGCGGCCCAGGCCCTCGACAAGCCCAGAGGTCAGAGTCAGAGCGGGCCGAGCAGGTCCCCCCACCCCCAGGCCCTGCCGCCTTTCCAGGCGTTCCAGCCGCTCGGGTTCGCCGTCGACCCCCTGCTGCCCCTACTGCCCACCCCCACGGCCCAGCGCCTGCAGCCGCTCCGGGCACGCGCAGGGCGCACGGTCCGCGCGCGCTCCGAGCCCCTCATAGAGGTCCCGGCCCCGGCCGCGGACTGCGCGGCGAGCAGCCCCGACCACCTCGAGCACTCCGAGCGAGGGGCGCGTCGTCGCATGCCCTCCAAGGCGCGGTCGCAGGGCGCGGACTTCGGGGAGCAGCACCCAAGCCTGCAGCAACCCTCGCTGGACTCGCTTCACGAGCCCCAGGCCGCCCCGGTGACCCCCAGCAGAGCCCCCAAGCGAACGACGAGTCCTACCGGCAACCCTGATGGGTACACTGTGAAGGCGCAGAGCCCGGCGGACCACCCTCACCCCGTGACTGGACACACCCCGACAGGACGCTCCGTCCCCGACGCCGCCACTGGACAGACCCCCGTCGGCGACGCCCCAGGGCAACCCCCGTCCCCGCAGGCCGGCAGGCCGCGCGTGAGCCTGTCCACGAAACACCGCCAGCGCTCCGCCTACAAGTCCCCCCCGCGGCCCCCTCCCCCTGCCCCCGCGGCCCCGGACGACTCCTCTGACGACGACGACGATGACGAGGAGGTGAGCCCCGGCGACGCGCTGCTGCGGCGCAAGGCGGGCTCCGTGATGGACGTGCTGCTGCCGACGCAGCCCTACTCGGCGCCGGAGCGCTCCGTCGACGCCGACGTCGAGGCCAGCCCGCTGGCGCCGTTCCTCCTCGCCCTGGCCAGCGCCGCGGCGGCCATGCCGGCGGCCGTCATCCCGGACCCAGCGCCGGGCGACGCGCCGGCGTCGTCGACGGACTCCTCGTCCTCGTCCTCGTCGTGCTCGTCCTCGCCGTCCACGGTGGCGCAGCGAGCGGCACGCCCGGCGGAGAACTGGTGCCGGCCGAGCTTCCAGGTGGAGGCCGACGGCAGCACGACGTACCGCTGCAGGGTGTGCAACCACGGCCCCATCCGCAAGCACTACTTCCGGTCGCAGTGACTCACTTCCGGGACTTCCCTCGCGACAGTCACCCCCACAGATAGTGCCAATGTGTAGCGAGTTTTTTGCGCGCTCCTTTGCAGCCAGCCCTCGGGCCGCATTTTTCGTTCTGTCTGTTTTTTGTTGTTTTTGTTTTTGACGCTCCCCCACCCTTGTCCACAGACTGCCCGCAGCTAGAAGGCCCGTCAGAAGGCAAGCCCCTTGCCATAGAGTTCCCGTCCAAGGCCCCCGCCCCCGCCCCCGGCCCCACCCCCGCCCCCGGCAAGCTGAAGGCCGACCGCGCCCGGACCACGCCGTCGACGGCCCCCGCAGCCGCAGAGCAGCCCAAGATCAAAAGCGCGTGGGTCGGCGAGGACGGCGTCGTCCTGGCGGAGGCCACGGCGTCGGCGGCCGCCAAGGCGCCGGCGGCGACCGCCCGCAAGAACGCCCCCCTGAAGGCCAACGCCAAGGGGCGCGGCCGTCCGCTGCGCTGCTACCTCTGCGGCCAGATGTTCGGGCTGCAGTCCCTGTCCATCCACGAGCCGCAGTGCCTCCAGAAGTGGCGCGTGCAGAACGCCCAGCTGCCGCCCCACCTGCAGCGGCCGGAGCCCCAGAAGCCGGAGTTCATCTTCACAGGTCAGCTAGAAGCGAGCTAGAAGCCACCGCCGCCACCGCCTGCAGCGCAGACCAACTAACATTCACGCCCACGTCGATGACGTCATTGGTGACGTCATCGACGTCGCCGACGGCCGCGTTGGGCTGCACGCCACCGCTGGCACTGCCTCTAGCTGCCAAGGCTTAGCAGTTTTGTCTTCTCCGCGATCGTCGCTGCAGTTTAGTTTTGGAGTATTTGGTGGGTAGGAAGATCGCCACCTAACGTCACAAGTTGGATAGCGCCCTAGGCGTAGAAAATTGAATTCATCCTATCGCCACTTTTCACTCTTTGTCTCTCCGCAATCTCCTCATAAGGCAAACCTTTCTTCTTTCACCTCCTTCCAACTATTCCTCAATTCGTTTTTACAACTCTAGTGCCCACTACTCACTACGCCACCGACTAACTCTCATCGTCCTAGAGCCACCCCACAGTGGGCCAGAAGACCAGTGGAGGCGGCCAAAACTCTAAACGCGTTTTGAGCTCCAGGGTCGCTAAATAGGCCTCGAACCGAACGTGTAACCCCACCAATGGATTGCTCTTTGAACGAGGAATCCATTGGTGGGGTCACACGCTCGCTTCGAGTCCTGTTTAGCGACTCTGGAGCTGAAAACGCGTCTAGAGTTTTGGCCGCCTCCACTGGCCTTCTGGCCCACTGTGCACCCCAGTAAATGAGCCAACTGTAACTGTAGTCCGCATCGCTAGACGCGCTAGACTAGACGGGTCAGCGCAAAGCGTCAGACTAACAGTAACTTGCACACTGGCAGGGGAGCCGGACCGCCCGGCCGGGTAGGCCTGGCCGCGCGCCTCGACACGGCTGTAGGCCTGGCTGCCTATGCCGCCATTGCCGGGCGGACAGCGCCGGACGGGTGCCAGCATGGCGACGGTACGCCTCACAGTGGATTTGCCAGAAGACCGGTGGAGGCGGCCAAAACTCCAGACGCGTTTTGAGCTCCAGAGTCGCTAAATGGGACTCAAACCGAACGTGTGACCCCACCAATGGATTGCTTTCCGAACGAGGAAACCATTGGTGGGGTCACCCGTTCGGTTCGAGTCCCATTTAGCGAATCTGGAGCTCAAAACGCGTTTTGAGTTTAGACCGCTTACACCGGTCTTCTGGCCCACTGTGCGCCTCTCTCCCTTATGTCTGTCTATCTCTCTCTCCACGTCACACTTACGCCTCGCCATGTGCGAAGTCGCGCGAAAGGGCTGACTCTCCTGTTACTTGCCGCCGCGCCGGCCTGGATCGAAGTTTCCCTTGAAGCAGGCCGGGAATGCCTTAAGGCACGTCTAGCCTGAGGAAAGGTTACAGGTTGGGAGATACGCCACGGATAGCGGCTGGGCCAGGCAGGCAGTATTTCCTTCGTGGCCACCGAGCACTCGTTACGTAACGCCTGGCGTCCGCGGTGGAGCCCTCCTCGCTCTACATCAAGTGCCACAGCCACACCAAAAAGTGCCCGTTTGTTGCCACGTTTGCAGAGGACGGCGACGTGGACTACTGGAGGACCTTCGACCGCATTTGGGCAAACCACACCGAGTCTCTAGTGCCGTGCCGGAACTGTGGTCGCCGGTTTTTCCCCGACCGGATCCAAACCCATGAGCACGCTTGTACCAACAGCCAAGCTAGGCGCTAGACTGGTTAGTCCCGGGGCATGCATGCACACTGTGCAACTAACTCTACGAGGCCCTCGGTCCTCCCTTCCCTCTAACCACTAACGTGTCCCCGGGCCAGTGGCGATACTCCGCGCGGCAACGGGATCGGGAGGCATGGAGTATTGACGTCACTCGCGCCGTCCTGATAGCGCTATCAAAACGCGATTGCCGTTCTGCAAACTCAGCAGCCGCGGCGGCCTCTTCACAACTGTCGTCGTAAGACGAATTCCCGTTTGTAATTTCACGTTTTGGTGTTTTCAGATGCGGGGACGGTGGACATCGATGCGTCAGCCGAGGCCGCGTGGCAAGCACACCTGTCCCAACTAATCCCTTGCGCTCACTGTGGTCGCAAGTTCAGCCCCGACCGAATAAGCGTCCACGAAAGATGCTGCAAGGGCGGCGAAAGATAGCGAACTGTACAGTCCTTTGACAATAAAACTAATCCCTAAACGTGTCATTGTGTCACTGCTGCCCCACTTGTATCCTAGCAGAGTTTAAATGATTGGTTCGGGAAGATGGTTTACACAAACAGACACAGGTAAAATTGGTTCCCGACATTGTATTTCATGTCACATTCTTACATACGGTCTTTCTCTCAGCAATCCTCTAGCATGGCAACCACTCAAAGTGTTAACAAATAAAACCACAATAGAAAAAAATACCACCCATTGAAGATTACTTAACTGTAAAATATCATTAAAAAAATCCCAAAAGAAACAATTTTGGCAAATGACATTCGAGAGGCTTTTCAATTTTCTTACACCTAACAAAAACAGTAATTTACAGTTTGTCGAGGTAGGACTGGAGGTCTGGGAGACCCTCCTTGAGACCTTTCCTCTTACGGATGTCCTGGACAACGGTGAAGGGCTTGGTGCCAGCGTCCAGGGGGTCACCGGGCAGGACCTGCCAGTGGTCGAACACGCACTGAGGGAAGGCCTGTCCCCCGGTATTCGAGCGGAGGTCAGCGGTGAAACCTGAAACAAGACACGAATGATTAGAAACATGTTCAAGAGAACTAGAGTGCGCTGCCTGCTATCACTAAGTCCCTTCAGTTGGCCGTTCTTAAACATAATCATAGAAGAACTAAGAACAGAACAATCATCATGAGAACCACACTGACAGTATTTAAAGCGCAACCCCAGACATGAAACCTCACAAGCTGAGGCCCTTCAGATGGCCGTTCTTTGAAGTCATAGAATAACTCAGAACAGAACGAATCATCATAGGAACTAAAATGCTTGAATTCGAAGTGCAACACCAGAGATATAAGCTAAGTGCCTTCAGTTGGCCGTTCTTTATCATAATCATAGATAAACTAAGAACAGAACAATCATCATTAGAAAAAAAAAAAAAAAAGAACGTTTGTAATCTATTAGACTTGAAAGGATATGTGAGGAGCCAAAGCATCCTGAAAGTTTCAGGCACGCTATAATCCGTCCGTAACTCAAAAGCAAAATTTAACCTAGCATACATGTACAAATTACATAGATAACAAGAATACTAACCGAAGGATTCGTTGACAGGAAGGTAAGCCTTGACGACGAACATAGGGGTACCAGCCACCTGCATTTCTTCGAACACGTGACCTCTCCTGCGGTTGAGGACACCATAGATACCACCCACAGCAACCTCAGGGCACTGGATTTCACACAGGTACACAGGCTCCATCAGTCTGGGGGCAGCGGTGAGCTGGGAGGCGTACAGGCAACGACGGGTGGTGGGAATGATCTGACCACCACCTCTGTGGATAGCGTCAGTGTGGAGGGTCACATCATAGATGTTGAATCGGACAGCACGCATGTTCTCCTCAGACAGGACACCCTGGGGGAAAGTAAAACCAAACGATTAGAAATCAATGCAAGAGATGAAATAACTGCAAAACTGTGGGACAAATGCTTACCTCCTTGGTGGCCCACTGGAAGCCAGCAACAACGGAGTCCTTGATTTCATTCAGGTACTGGACTCCCTTGGTGCAGTCAAGAAGCATGTTGGGGCCGGTGCCGTCGGGACCGAAGCACCAGATCTTACGGGCCTCAGTGACGTCGTAGTCGTACTTCTCACCCAGGTAACGGGCACGAGCCTTGAACTCATCACGAGGGTTCACGTTGCCGTCCTCGATGTCCTCAGCGAGACCATCAGGCATGGGAACAGCCTTCATGAACAGACGGTTGTGCTTGTTGGGGGACTTGGACAGACACATCTGGTCAGATTCCTCAGAGACGGTTTCACGGTAGGACACAACGGGGTCGGACTTCTTGATGGGAATGCAGGCGTGATCCTCCTCCAGATCCTTCAGACAGATTTCAAGATGGAGCTCACCAGCGCCAGCAATGATGTGCTCGCCAGACTCCTCAATGATGCACTGCACCATGGGGTCTGACTTGGCCAGACGCTTCAGACCTTCCACAAGCTTGGGCAGATCGGCAGGGTTCTTGGGCTCCACGGCCACACGCACGACAGGGGACACGGAGAACTTCATCACCTTCATGTTGTGGGCATCCTTGAAGGTGGTGATGGTGCCGGTCTTGACCAAGAACTGGTCCACACCGACAAGACCACAGATGTTACCAGAGGGGACATCCTCAATGGCTTCAACGTAACGTCCCATCATGAGGATGGTCCTCTGAATGGCCTTCTCGTACAGATCTTCCTTCTTGCCAGGGACGAAGTTGGGTCCCATGATGCGGGCCTTCATACCGGTGGCGACCTTGCCGGAGAACACACGACCGAAGGCGTAGAAACGACCCTTGTCGGAGGTGGGGACCATCTTGGACACGTACATCATGAGGGGAGCGTTGGGGTCGCAGTTCTTGATACCAACAGCGGCCTCGTCGTCCTGAGGTCCTTCGTACAGCATCTCCATACGGTACTTCTGGGCCACCACGGGGGAGGGAAGGTGGATGGCAATCATCTGAAGCAGAGCCTCACCAGCGGGCAACCAGGTACGCATGACAACCTTGAGCAGGGCCTTGCCGTCCTTGTCAACATCCTCGTGGTTCAGCTTGATGCCCATCTTGGTCAGAAGGTTGGCGGTCTCTTCCTTCTTGTAGTTCATGATGCTGTCGAAGATCTTGTAGATGGGGTCCAGGATGTACATGCAGAAAGAGCGCTTGTTGTCGTCTTCCTTCTGCTTAGCCCACTTCTTGGTCTTGGCGTTGAAGAAGTTCTCACCCCAGAGCCTGTTCATGAGCTTCACAACATCGATCTTGAACTTCTCAGAGTACATCTCAGCGAACTGCTTGAGGGTGAAGGCCCAGCCGTGGAGACCAGAACCAAAACCAACTGAACCCTTGCTGGGGTCAACCTGAAAATCAAACATATGATCAGTACCATCAGATAGAAAATATAAATTGTGGGCAGTATTAAGAAATGTGTATGTTCCCCTATTCAGTCACATGAAAAAGATCATCATACAACGAAACTAAAGAACAATTAGTCTATCCACATGCAAAGCAAGATATGAAAATCCATACCACGCAAAAAAGCTATGTGGAAACCAAAAATAATAGAGTGATCGAAAAACTTACTCGCACTTCACCCATAGGGCCGGAGTCGTCACTGTAGGTGGCAATGATGACGTTGACGTTTTCCACAATACGCTGGAAAGTCTGGTACAAATCTTCTGACTCCAACTGCAGCTCAAGCAGAGCACGGTCCATCTTGTTCATGAACACGACAGGCTTGATACGCTCAGCAATGGCTTGACGCAGCACAGTCTCAGTCTGCACGCAGACACCTGTGAAAGAGAGGAGAAAATCAATTATAAACAGGATATATTGCAAGTCAATGGCGAACAAAGACACAAAAACATAATACAAATGACAGGAGTATCCCTGAGCAAAGGAGGGTTTGATTCCATGGAAAACTAAGTTCATAAGAGCAATAATAAAATCATACATGAAAAATACTGAGGGGGACAATCTTCTGCAGTACTTAAAAGCTCTTAGGCAAATCAGAATTAACAAATCCTCACTTCCATTCAGAACAGGTCTGTGTAAGAAACATCACGAATGCCAAGGAGAGTCATTGACGGAAAATACACGGTTTCAACGGGATGAAAGCAATTACCAAATCCTCAATTCTGAGACATTTTAGACAATCGCCGCTGCATGTGAAAAGTTCAAGGGGAGTCAATCTTGGGCACTACTTACTAGCTCATTGGCATATCAGAATTAACAATTCCTCACTACCATTCAGAACAGGTCTGTGTAAGAAACATCACATATGCCAATGGATTGTCATTGAGGGAAATAACAGGGATTAAGTGGAAACCTTAGTTGATACAAGTAGTGATCATATCTACAATTTACTTCCAAGAAAATTGAATAAGAAAACTGAAGAGGGATAACTATTTCTACTGTACAGTAGCTCATTGGCAAATCAGAATGAACAAATCCTCAATTAAATTCAGAACAGGTCTGTGTTTGAAACATCACCAATGCCAAAGGAATGTCATAGAAGGGAAATTACAGAGTTTCGACAGAAACCTTTGAAGGTAAAAGCAACGATCAAGTTCTCAGTAATTAAAAAAAGGTCTAGGAAAAATTCACCACAGTTGCCATTGCATGTGAAAAATTGGTAGGGGGGCTATCTTGTGCACTACTTACAGGTTCATTGGCAAATCAGATACAACAAATCCTCACTTTAAGTCAGAACAGGTCTGTGTTAGAAACATCACAAGTGCCAATGGAGTGTGAAGCGCCATTAATATAACAGCAGAGGGGCTTCTCCACAATAAAATGATCAGACGCCAGCCTTTCACTTACCAGATACACAGTCGACAACAACCAGAGCACCGTCAGTGACACGAAGAGCAGCAGTGACTTCACTGGAGAAATCGACGTGACCGGGAGAGTCAATCAAGTTGATAAGGAAACCCTTCTCATTCTTGTCACGCTGGTCAGGGTTGGTGATGAAGACCAGATCCTTCTCTTGCAGTTCAAAGAACATAGAGATGGCACTGGAGGGAGGAACAAAACATAATGTCAGCTAGAACACATTGGAAAACATCAGAAAATGCGCGCCAATTACTTACGTTGACTTGATGGTAATGCACCGATCCTGCTCATCCTTACGGGTGTCAGTGAAACGAGTTTCACCAGCCTTGGCACCAGCAATGATACCGGCCTTAGAAACAAGGGAGTCTGTCAGAGTTGACTTGCCGTGATCCACATGGGCAATGACGGACATGTTACGGATGTTCTTCTTCTTGTCCATCATCCCACGGATCTCGTCTACCGTAAAGTTCACCTGAAGACAAGAGAAAATCAAGTGTAAAGCTACAATTTAACCAGTTTCCATGACCCTACTACACAAGTGGCAAAAAATAACTAAATTATGCTGTTGTCAGTTGAAAACTCCACACCACATACCATGTTGAGGCATGCACAGGCTCGGGTGGTCGAGTCAGTGATGTCAATTGTACAGTGCTATTAACTAAGTGCTAAGGGGCCCCCACCACAAAGGCAGTGCCTGCATCACCCGCCTCACATATGTTGACCCTATCAGGACCGCTCTCTTCCTCGTACAATAAAGCGAGACGCACCCGCTAACACAAATCGGGTCGAGCCTTCCGACACGTTTGAGGGTGGCAATGTCACGCAGGCGAATTGAGAGGCAGAAAAGAGGAAAAGCCCAATCGCCCAAAACTTTGGAATAGGCTAAACCTTCCGCGAGGGGTGACAAACATCAAGATCCTGAATTAACCACGTTTGATCAAAGGGCAAACAAGCCCGCGTTTGGAAAGACTACCAGTGGCGCAGCCGGCTGGCGGCCGACGGTTGGAAACTTCCCAGAACAACATAACCACAAATGTAACCTCATCACGGCAGATGAGCAAGTAATTTGGGTAACGGCAGGAACAGGTAGGAAAAGTTCGAATAGGGTTCAATAACAATTTGGTCGTATGAAGACTAATGGGCAAAATATAAGCAAAAACATTGAGACAGATCGCGTCGGCCCTTTCACATGTTGCGGACCATTGTGCAATAAGATTTGGCGAAAACTCTGACAACAGTTCGGATTAAATTCTGTAACAAGTATATTCCTCGGAAAGCCGGGATCTTTATCTTTCGAACGGTCATAAAATCAATCCTGTAAATTACGCACCATCTTGGATGTTGGTGGATGATCCTAGGCAAGTAAAAACTTCAAACGCCAACAATGGCGTTCTCCCTCGGAAAGGATCTGCCACGCTGAGGCAGTTCAGATTCGAAAGAAGAACATTCTGGGGGTACGTTCCTTGAGAGTTAGAGGGCACTGGTGACCGCGCTCCGCGCGCCACCTGGTGGCGAAAATGGTTTAACTTTTTACAACTTTTACGAACTTGGATAGCACCGTTGTGTTTGACATAATGATTAAACAAGTCTATAGCCATTAGTATACTCACAACCGTCTGAAATGGCAATTCTGAGGCGAATTCCACTGCAAGCCAAATGACCACTGTAAACCTCTCACACCTGTGCCAACATACGGGTCTCAGAGCGAACCGATACAAGCATTGACTGCTGAAAGTAGCTTGTGCAAGGCGAAAGAAATCACTTAGTTCCACGAGGCCGACCCAAATTAGTCAAGTGCCCGAGCACTACGTTTACAATTCGTTTTTAAATGCGTCGAGTGGAAAATCGGATTTGGCGAACCTGTTGCGCCACCTCCACATGGCACGGACGCGGGAACGCGCAAAGATTTTGAATCGCCGGCGTCTAGCACTGTCTGCCCACCTCCTACCGTTGACACTCGCAAAGAATGCGGCGTTTTGATGTTCAACGCGAACAATATAAAGCGTCCAACTGACGTTGGGCATTTTGCGACTGCCCTTGTTCGGAACGAGCATTGTGACTGTACTACAACTTGCAAAAGAAAGCGACCCAAAGCAGAAACCGAAGTCCACGAGCGAACCCGGACTCCGGGTCTCCGCAGAGTGATTCCGGGCCGCGTTTCGCCGCTGTCTCTCCCGCACTCCTTGGGAGTTCCCCCACGGGCCGTGAGTGCGAGAGAGACATTAGAGCGACGCGTCTCATGATTGGCCGACGCCCAGGCTCATTGTTGCAGCCCGTTCCTAGGGGTGGCGAGTGGAGAGGCCCAGGAAAACAAACCAAGGCCGCGAGAAGGCTTTTGGGGCTTTGGCCGCCGCTGTCCAGACACTCTTGCCGGCTTCCCCATGAACTCGAGACTTCGCACAGAGTCGACGTCATCGCCCGGCGGCCACCCTTTGGTCGCGGCGCACACGGCACAGACCTCGGCACAGACCGCCAAGGGCGCGGGCGAGACCAACCTGGACGACATCAAGCAGGTGAGTCCCAGCCAACCACTCTGTCTCTATCGCACTCAAGGGGCGTTCCGTATGGGTGCGAGAGAGAGAGAGGGAGAATCGCTCGGTGCACAGTGGGCCAGAAGACCGGTGGAGGCGGCCAAAATCCCGGACGCGTTTTGAGCTCCACAGTCGCTAAATGGGACACGAACCGATCGTATGACCCCACCAATGGATTGCTCTCCGAACGAGGAATCCATTCGTGGGTTCACGCGTCCGATTCGAGTCCTGTTTGACGACAGTGGAGCTCAAAACCCGTCCGGAATTTTGACCGCCTCCACCGGCCTCCTGGTCCACTGTGCGGAGGAGACCGAAAGCCAACTCGACGGTCTTCCGCAGGACGGCGAGTACCCCGTCTGCTTCGAGCTCATGGGCATGGGCGACCTGGAGGTGGTGGACGTGGGGGAGGCGGGCGGCCTCCAGGGCGGCCTTCAGGGTGGCCTCCAGGGTCCGAGCAGAGGGCTGAGGAGCCCCAGAGCCCCGACCAAGACCAGCACGCCCTACGCGGCGTGGGGGCAGCAGGGGCAGCAGCACCGGCCGGAGTGCAGCACCCACCAGGACACGTCCTTCATGTCCTTCTGCTCGGCGGACTGGGCGCCGAGCGAAGACAGCAGCGACGCCGAGGACTACATGAAGGCCAGGATGCAGGAGTGCTGCGTCTCGGAGGGCCTCGCCGGCAGCAGCGACAGCGTGGAGGACGCCGAGTGCCGCGCGGTGGCGGCCAGAGAGGCGGCCAGAGAGGCGGCCGCCGTCCGGTCCAAGCTGAGCGTGGCCAAGGTGGTGCAGGTCAGCATCGAGCCCGAGCAGAGCGCCGTCGGCACGGCGAGCACGTGCGGCCGCCAAGGCCAGGACGGCCAGGACGGCCAGGTCCGCGCGCAGGTGCACCTCCGCGACGCGGAGACGCGCCGCCGCCGCGGGAGCGACGTGGTCGACGTGGAGGGGGACGGCCTCGACGAAGACGACGATGACGACGACGAGGAGGAGTCGCGGGGCGCGCCCACCCCGGACAACACCCCGGAACACAGCCCGTCCGAGGAGCACCAGCCGGGGGGGCTTCTGCTCGGCCTGGGTGAGCGGGCTGTGCCACATCGTCGCTGTCTCTCTCCCACCCTTAAGGAGCACTCACACAGCGGGCCAGAAGACCGGTGGAGGCGGCCAAAATTCTAGACGCGTTTTGAGCTCCAGAGTCGCTAAATGGGACTCGAACCGAACGTGTGACCCCACCAATGGATTCCTCGTTCGGAGAGCAATCCATTGGTGGGGTCACACGTTCGGTTTGAGTCCCATTTAGCGACTCTGGAGCTCAAAACGCGTCTAGAGTTTCGGCCGCCTCCACCGGTGTTCTGGCCTACTGTGACCCAAGGGGCAAGAGTGCGAGAGAGACGGCGAATGAACGAGCTGCAGCAGTCCTCGAACTCCCTCTCCTCCCTTCCCGCAGAGTCCGGGTCGGCCCTCTACTCCACGCTGAGAGGCATGGCGCTGGGCGAGTCCCGGGACAGGGACCTGGCCGACTACGCCGACTACGGCAGCAGCACCCCTTCCCCGGCGTGCTCTCCGGAGACGAGTCCGTCGGCGACCCCCGCCGGCACCCTGGCGGCCACGGCCTCGACCTCCAACGCCACGTCCAGCAGCGGCGGGGGCAGCACCCTGGGCAGGGTCTGGAGCCTCATTCTGGTGCGTGCCTTCGGAATACCAAACTGTGCACAGGGGGCCAGAAGACCGGTGGATGTGGTCGAAACCCCGGAAGGTTTTGAGCTGCAGAGTCGCTAGATGGGACTCGAACGGAACGAGTGACCCCCACCAATGGATTGCTCTCCGAACGAGGAATCCATTGGTGGGGTCACACGTTCAGTTCGAGTCCTGTTTAGCGACTCTGGAGCTCTAAACGCGCGTAGAGTTTTGGCCGCTTGCGCCGGTCTTCTGGCCCACTGTGCTGCGTTTCGTCGCAAACGGGCGCTCCCTGCGCGCGAGAGAGACAGAGCGACGCAACGCTCTGGTCGGTCGCCTGGACGCCGGCTGCTTTGGGACGCAGGGGCGGGCCGGCAAGGCGCAGGGCGCGCAGGGCCAGGGAAGTCCCGCGCCCGCGCCGCCTCGCACGCCGCGGCTCAGCGACTCGGCCGAGGAGGACCGCGAGGACCAAGAGGACCAGGAGGACTCGGCCGACGACGACGCGCTGTACGTCGACCCGCAGGACCCGCAGGCCATCGAGGAGCTCGAGGCGACGCTGGAGGAAGTGAGTGACAGCGGCGCACAGTGGGCTGGAGAACCGGTGGGGGCGGCCAAAATTCTAAACGCAATTTGAGCGCCAGAGTCGCTAAATGGGACTCGAACCGACTGTGTGACCCCACCAATGGATTGCTCTCCGAACGAGGAATCCATAGGTGGGGTCACACGTTCGGTTCGAGTCCTGTTTTAGCTACTCTGCAGCTCAAAACGCGTCTGGGATTTTGGCCGCCCCCACCGGTCTTCTGGCCCACTGTGCGGTCGTGGCTTCGAGTCGCAGTGGGCGTATCATTTGGCAATGATTTTACCCGCTAAGGTTCGCTTGGACGGCGACGGCGACGACCCCGTCGTCAGCTACCTGGTGGAGGAGGCCGAGGACGCGGCGCGCTCGCCGGGAACCGCCAGCCGCGATGTGACGGTGGAGGAGGTGCACGAGGACGACGGCGGCCAGCACTGCCAGCAGCCTGACGACAACCCGCAACGCGACGACATCGAGCACCTCGACGACGTCCACGACGTCGACGACCCGGAGGTCGAGGGCTGCGAGTCCAGGACGGCCCCCGCCCCCAAGCCATCCGGCCTGCTGTCCAGGATCTTCTCCAGGTCCAAAACGAGCCAGGACATCACCAGAGCGGAGCCGGACCAGCCGGACCAGCCCCCGAGGCGGCTGGAGCGCGGTGAGCCCCTTCACGACCGCGGCACTCGTCGCTCTGTCTCCCTCGCACCCCCACGGCACACCCCATGAGTGCGAGAGAGACAGAGCGAGGAGTGCTCGAAGGCTTCAGTTTTGTGGTGGAGCGGCTGGAAGCAACCCCTCATGCCGCCGGCATGCCCTCGCCAGGTGCCGCAGTGAAGCGAGCCAAGGGAGAGGTCTCCAACTCGGACCGCCTCCTGCACCGCCACCGGACGAAGCCCCGCCAGACCAACAAAGCGGTGCGTTCAGCAGACAGATTCCAAGAGTCGTTTTCCCCGCTCTGTCCCTCTCGCATTCATGGGGCGCACAGTGGGCCAGAAGCCGGTGGAGGCGGCCAAAACTCTAGACGCGTTTTGAGCTCCAGAGTCGCTATATGGGACTCGAACCGAACGTGTGACCCCACCAATGGATTCCTCGTTCGGAGAGCAATCCATTGGTGGGTCACACGTTCGGTTCGAGTCCCATTTAGCGACTCTGGAGCTCAAAACGCGTCTAGAGTTTTGGCCGCCTCCACCGGCTTCTGGCCCACTGTGGGGCGTCCCGTATAGGTGCGAGAGAGGCGGAGCGACGAAAACGACTCTAGGAAACAGCCTGCAGACAAACTCGTTGAAAACGCGTCTAAAACTTTTCCGCTTCGCTTCATTCCCCTCCCCGTGTTGGTGGATGCGCAGGCGATGCGCGGCTCGCTGTCCCGCATCCTGGGCCGGTGGCTGCGCCAGGGCGGCCAGGGCCCGGCGCTGCAGGGCCTGCCGGGCGTGCAGGGCCCGGGGAAGGACGGCGCGTGGGGCGTCGGCGCCGAGGGGGACGTCGGCAAGGGCGACTCGGGGCTGAGTCCGGCGTGCGCCCCGCTGGCCTTGAGGACGACGGTCACGTCGTCGAGGAGGAGCGCGCTGCTGCAGCCGCCGCCACTGCAGAGCGTGCGGCGGGCCAAGACGCACACCCTGCCGCAGGCCTTGCCGCAGGCCCTGCCCGTCGAGCCACCGCCCACCAAGGTGTCCCCACTGTTCCCCTTTTTCCCTGCTCACGAGAAACTTACCCGCCTTGACGTGCAACTTTGGTCTACTCCGCAGTACTTGGAAGATGATAGTACGGTAGGGGAGAAGCTGCTCGCAGACTTTGCCAGCCAGACTGACGAGTCGCTTCTTGCGAGATCAGCTTCGCTGCAAAGCCAGAAGGATTCTCGATCTCTTGGAAAGGGACTCAAAGAAAGTGAAGACACGTTAACAGATGTATTGGGCTTCATCTGACCTTGATGATTGGTAGTTTGACAGTGTGTGTGTGTATCAGTCAGTTTGTTATGAGAATATGGGGTAGAATCCCCACTTCCTTTTTTCACTACTTTCATGTTACAATTTTAATTCGGACTGCAATTGACTTTTAAACTGTAATGACCTCTTGTGTTGAATGGTTTTATAGTGACAAGAGTTTGCTTCCAAGAATAAGTGGGTGAGATAATAAATGAATCAACTGCAATGTGCACAATGCTCCAAATTCGGTCAGATTTCTATATTTAATTTTATTGACAGTCATTTTTCTAACAGAGTTTTCCTTACCTAACAATCAGTGACAATGAATATCACTACAATGGCAATAGGATAAAGAAAATGGACGGAATCGGATACAAAAGACAAGTTAGGCTCCATATGCCATATTTAAAAAATCAGACTATTATTCTAATTGGTCCCCAAAACAATGATTGCTTAGGAAATGCTATGTTGCACCTGAAAACAAATGCGACACAATACTGCAATTAAATTTGTCATTACTAAAATGAAACATAATTGGGCAGGATTTACAAAAGGTGCCACAGTCCTTTGAAATCATCATGTGTACAGGGTCATCTCCAATAGCTAGTAACAGTGTACACCATCAATTTATTCAAAGATGGTAAATTTGATCATACGTAATTGGTATAGGAGTGCCAGTGCCCGAGATGCAAAATATTCAGCTTAAAATCAAACGTTTCCTTGTAAGATATGTGGGTTAGATGGTGATTGTATTACTTGCAAAAAATTAATTGACATAACAGATTGCCACAAACTCCGCAGGGAAAGCCAAGACGAAGGAACAAACTCAGATTCCATGATCTCCTCTTTCCATCAATTTAGAGTAATTTGATCAATGTGCGGTGCCAGAGTAAAACTATTCCTATTAAAATGGTAACCATTCTTGCTAAGATCTGGCACACTACAATTAACAACAAAATTTATCTCATAACTAAATATATTCACTTAGTTTTGAAGTAAGTACATTCACCAAAAAGAAAGCCACACATAAAATACAAAAAAGATTAAAAACATTCTTTCTTAGAAAAAGACAACAATCAACTTTCATACTCACAAAATTATTTAAAACTAGATTTCATTCTAAACACTATGCTCAATCAATTTCAAGAAACCACTTTTGAGGCAAGGGCTAAAAGCAAACAAAAATGTTTTCTTTTTAATCCAAATTTGACTTACAATGAGCGTTGTCAATATACTAAATGCATACACCTTAAATCTACTATCACAATGCTTTCCTATCTTCTCAAGCAATCCACTTGAGAAGTGAGATAATACTAAGACAGAGTTAACGCAAATCAAAGGAGAAAAAAGGTTGCATGACACCCAGACTAAAATGGTATTTTCAAACACAAGTTCTGAATACATGTGTTCTCACAGATCTAGAGAGAATGATGAGAAGTCCTCTATTAACTGAGATAAGAGAAAACTGGTTGAAGACAATGGTTTTCAAAAAGTAAAAAGAAACAACTAAGAATGTAACAAGTACAAATATCGATAGAAAATAAAATTCTAGGAAAACACAAGTTAACAGAAACCATCAACATACAGTAAATGCATCCTACTGACTGATGTGCTTCCTAATCAATCTAAGCTCATAATGAGGCAAACGAAGATACATACAAATACAAAAAACTCTAAGCAAGTTTGAAAAATTCAGAATGGTACACTGGCTTAGAAAATAAAACAAATGACAGCATTATCACATACAAACAGACCAATGCAAAACTAACACGAACAATTTGTTAATATGAAGTTGCTGTATGAGATTCAAGCCCCATTGACTGAAATTTAGGTAAATATATATGTATATCATACATTGCAAAGTTATCACATGCATGTTTTGTTATAAAGCAGACAAGAATGAATACTTAAAATAGTTCGCATGTCGTCAGAACATAAAATAATCTTCAGGAGATAAAAATGATTGTAGCATCATAAAAAGGATTATCAGCACAACAATGAAACATGCTTTGAGTCACACTTGAATGTACTTCATAATAAAAATGGTTGTGGCTAAAAGTTTAAATTGTCTGTTTTCCATGCCTCTTTTCCACAGTAGAGTACGGTTTGTGCAAACACTTCTATATGTATATATTTATGAGTTAAGGGTAGGGCACATTTGATGACTGGAGCGAGGTTGATTCACATTCACTGACAAATGACTGTGTCATTGAACTCTGAGCAGGTCTCACATGCCAGATTCTGCAATCCCTTCATCATCTGAAAAATAAAGACAGAATGTGTTACTTTAATGCAATGATGACACCTTTAAAAATGTACAGTATGTGTGATGCATGAACAACACATTGGGCAAAATACACTAGTGCAACTAGGCATGCAACACATGCTCAAGAAGTAATGTGGCTCTATGAATAAGATTGAATTTAAAAACCAGCTGAACAATTTTATACATGCATATGAGATCCTAAGTCTAATCTACTCATGTAAGGTCAAAAGGTGTAAATATTTTATACAAGTTCAAAGCAGATAAAGAATTTGTGAAATAAATGCACAACCAGGCATCACATACAAGCAACACTACAAAAGAAAACAAAAAAAAAATTCAAAAAAAAAACAAAACACAGAAAATAAACATCAATCCAAGTAGGGGTAAATTGTGAGACAACAGGCAAACATTTTACCAGAGACACCATTTGTCACTTCTCCTTTTCGCCTCTGCCTTCTGTGACATTGGAGGGAGCATCAGTTGACTTAGAAGACATCGCACAGCGAACAGAGGCAGCAACAGAACGAAGAGCGCAACGAACTCCATTCCACCATTCTATACACGAAAAAATTTCCCAACACATGTAAGACACCTTTCCCAATTCTTAATTATCCTTTTTCCAATTAAGAAAAAAATTGAAGACATTAGACAAGCAACACCACACCCTCATTAAAGTCTTTTTGCATGATTGTTATAGAATGTTTGATCAGTAAAGTAACCAAGGGATTCAGGGAGGAAAAAATGCACACAGCAAAGATCAAGTGCGATGGGGGCTTAAAATAAGTGTTGGAAAACAAAGTTGCAGTAAGAACGGTGCAAAAGAAGCTGAATAGAATGGAAAAGAAAAGTGAATCCAGGGTATGGCCCTAAACATTTTATAAACAATGTACTGCATGTTTACTTCCATGAATTTTAAAGCTACCGATTCCGGATCAGACTTCTTACCAACCAACCAACACACCAAAACCCAGAGCAACCCATAGTCTTGAGGTTTCTCGTAGTATTTCAAGAGACAATTTGAACAGGGTTCCCCTCCCCACCACCATTAGAAGTTGCAACACAATATTTACAGCACCTCCAGGTTCATAATTTTCATTCTGGACTTCATAACTTAAAATTCAAAACTTGGCTTTTCTTGACCTAACTGTCAAGACATGAAAGTTATAGACTTAACAAATATGTACAAGGAGAACATACCTTCAAAGCCCTGGTTGTGGTGAGCTTCTCGTTGAGTAGATCCAGGTCCCCCACCTCCTTCATTTCCTTCCAAAACAGCTAGTAGGCACTGGTGTATACAAATATACTGCTGCTCTGTCTGGACCATCCACACTCTTTCTTTGCGCATTTGCCAGACAATACCAAAGATATCAACACTATCTGAGTGGGATAAACTCTGGAGTATGCGATCCAGAGCAATAAATGTACCAGAGCGACCCACTCCCGCACTGCACACAAATATCAAAGTATTAGTTATCACTGTTACCTTTTACTGTACAGTACAATGTAAGACAAGCGTGTTAAGGTTGATATCTTACCTGCAATGTACAACGATGGGCCGCTGATCAGGCCCAACGCGATCTCTAAAAGCTCGCACAAATCTAACTAAGGTCTGGGGAGGATTTGGCACACCAAAATCTGGCCAGGTAGTGAAGTGGAAATGCCTCATGACACGCGATTGCTCGCCCTAGAAGAGACGTCAACTCATTAAAAAAATGTAAAGAAAACTGGTGGTGAGCATGTTAGTATATTTATATGGCTTACCCGACACATGATGAATTCAGTAATGGTCCAGTCAGGATAGTGACTGTCATTAAGAATAGTTACACAAATATCTCCATAATATACAGGGAGTGTGTCATACGGCCAGTAATGGTCACACTTTTCTCTGCCTTTCTCGATGCATCGGGTTAACATTACAATGGCACGTGAATTAGACTCCCAACACATTCGCCAGAAATCATCTCTGGTTGAATGGAGGGGTCCTTGAGTGACTATAAACTCACGAGGAGAATTGTGACCCTGCAAATGAAATCAACCAGTAATCAACAAATGAACCAATGCTAGTACACTGTTGAAAGGGTTGGCCAAGACAAACTAACTGTTCACTTACGGGAACATAGTTGGCATTTATGTAATCTGATCCCTCTTCATCATCAACAGGCTGGAGTTTTACTCTGGAATGGTCATATGGTAAGATGTTGGTAAAGCGGTTCTTGGGCCTGTTGCAAGGAAGGTCAGCAGCAGAACAGCTCTGCTCCCTGCCCACATGCTTTAACTCCTCAAATTCTTCGGAAAAACGGAAATCTGAGTCCGCAGACATGAGGCGGTAGTGGTCTCCGAAACTTTCCAGGCGTATTGCACGGCTGGAATGAAATGGACAACACAAGCATGAGCAAAGTGATTTCAAAGCCAATATAGTGATATATATGTATAACACAATGTAAGATTAACATTTACCTTGTCACAATGACACTGTCAGGCAAAGACATGTTGTCATTGTTGCGTGAGTCAGTGGCCTTTCGGTGAGCTGATCTTCTCCGCCGCAGTAGTAAAATTGTAATTAATAACAGAACAATCAAAGCTGCGGGTACGCCCACTCCAATAAATATAGGTGTATTGTCTTGATCTGCACAAAAAGAGAGCGTATAATTAGCACAAAATGACACTGAAGATATTGGCTTAAAAGCACAGAATTGTAAATACCTGTTTGGATAGGGAATGAGTAGAATGTGTCAGTAAATTTATCAGGCGCTGTGAATGCTCTCAATTTGATGCGGTAGGTTGAGCCAGATTTTAAAGGACCATTGCAGTACCCAGGTCGAGTTTTGTCGCAGTTCATTGATCCAATAGTAAAATCTTCAACACTTGAGTTTTTGAAAGGATAATATGGATCCATAACTTGGTAGGGTGGCCATGTACTGTATGCTTGAACATCTTTCCAGCTTGGCATCTCAAGACCAGATGAGTTCTTGGTGTCATCTTCAGCAACAATGATAGTATATGACGTCACCACCCCATTAGCATCCGAAAAGTAATTCTTGCGGAAGCGTATTTGTATGGAAGTAGTACTGCGGCACACTTCAGTGGGAACATAGGTAGGTGAACATTTGGGTGGAGGTAGAATAGGCATCTTCTGTTTCCACACAGCTTCAGGCCCATATCCTACTCGAGTTTCAGCCTGAATTCGGAACACATATGTTTTGCCAGGGAACAGGCTCTTGATGGTGCCATGAGTATCCCAAGGTTGAAAGTCCCGAACTTGAGTGTGAGTTGAGCCCTGGTAAACACAAGCATACCACAAATTAGATCACACTTATTCTATGACAGAGGAGCAACACATCAAAAATTGAAAGAGACTGCAGTTACCTCCAATCCATATGTTATAGTGAATTTCCGTATGATGCCATTCTGTTGATTGCTTGGTAACCCCCACTCAAATGAAATATCCCCAGGTAGTATGTCCACCGGCCCAAACTTTTCCACCTAAAATTTCACATTCAAGAAATTATACAATAATCAAAAAATTATTATGTACTTTAAAAAAAATTAAGAGAAAGACAAAGAACCATACCTTGCCAGGAACAGATTCATGGGTTTGGAAAATGGCAGACACTGGGAGTGACCTCCTTAAAACCGATGACTCAGTACCAGAGCGGACAACAACAGTGAAGGTATAATTTCGATGAGGTTTCAGGTCACTAATAGTGATTGAGTCTCCCAGAGTCAAATTCTGGATTAATAAACCTTCTGTGTTGAGGTATTGCACCTCAAAAGCATTAAATTCTCCCCTTGGAGGTTCCCAAGTTAAAGTTATCTCTGTGTCAGTGATTTGAGAGGCATTGATTCCAACAATTGGTTCAGGATCTGTGGGAAATAAATAAATCAGTAAAGAAAACAAATTTTAAAATGCAGGCAAGTTACAATTTATAATCTGTACTCACACATTCGATCTTGCCTCTGAAGTGGCTGACTTGCAACACCATCAGATACCGTCCAAACAGTGATGTTGTAGAGCCTGCCAGGTACAAGGCCCGTAAATATCACCTTTGTGGATTCTGTATCATTTGCAAGTTTTTCACGGTCCGGTATGGAAGGATCAGAGAGCCGGAATCGATATCGGTCAAAGTGAGATGATGTTTGAGGTGTAGGGGTGTAGCGAAGTGTTAGCTGCCCAGTTTCTTGCAAATTACTTACAACTAGTACTTCAGACTGAATCAATGGCACTACAAAGAAAGTAAAAAAAAGGAGCAAAATTTGTCAGTACTTATCATATTGCTAAGATAGGTTGTCAACTTATAAAATAAACTTACTGGTTCTGGTAGACAACTTTGTGGTATCTGAATGTAAATTGTAACTGACAGTCTGAATTTCCATGACATACTTCACTCCAGGCATTAGATCACTGATGAGAATTCGGACAGTAGCTCCCTCCTCAACACCAGTGTCATTAACATTTCGTGACTTGGGTGCAGGATCCACACCACCATCTTCAGCTTGCCACCTGTTAAAATTAATTATTAAACTCTAATTCGGAACATAATTTGACAACAGGCACTACAGAATATTTGCTTACATAATGATGTAATACTCAATCCGCCCTTCTGGACGGGGAAATTCCAGAGTAACATTGTTAGAATCCACCAATGGAGCAATGTTTGTTACAGGATTTGGACCTGAAATATCATTATAGGTAATTTGTTTGTATAAGGATGATATCTATGATTAAATAGGGCATTGTAACTTAGACTGATGCAGAAAATACTTACGGACGGTATGGTTAACTTCTTGAGGAGCATTGCTTTCTACACCAAAGCTGACAGTATTGACTTGGACCATATACTTCTCCCCAGGTGTCATATCAGCAACCTCAGCCTCTGTTTCACGCACTGCAGGAAGCTTGACCCATCGCTCATCTTCCTCTGTGCGATACCTGGAAAATAAAAGGAAATGAAATGAAATGGAACCTCCTTGTTGCGAACAATGAAAAAAGACAGCGCTACCCACCTGATTGAATACTCAGAAAATATGGAATCCTTTGGGCTTTCCCACCGTACTAACACAGAGTTGCTGGTCACCTTTTCAATGCTCAGATTTCGAGGTGGATGAGGGTCTAATGGGGAAACCAAGAAAAAGTATGTAATTAATATCTGTTCACAAGAAAATTTCACCATCTGACTACAAAGAAGAAGTACCTGCCACTCCTGCAGCATTAGAAAATACAGAAAGAAAGCTTGGTAAGAAAAAGTTGCAGAAGAAAGACAAGAGCAGGTTCCTATTTTTAGATTTAAAAAAATGTGTGAGTAGAGGTACTTACACACGGCTTGGAAGTAGTCATGTGGCTCACTACGTAATCCATGGCTTACAGCAAAAACTTCCACCTCATATCCTGCACCTGGATACAAATTATCAAGGACAAGTCGAGAGTCGGTTGTCAAAGTTGTAACCCGTTCACCTGCAAATCAAAATTCATAAATTAGTTGTTTTTTATTGGCTTCTTTATTTTTTTAAAAAGGACTTTCAAAATGGTCGAGATGATATCAGAAACATTACCAGTATCATTTCTAATGTAGGTTACTTCATACTTTTCTTGACGAGAATTAACGTCAGATTTCCATGAAATATTGAGTCCATTTATGATAGGGCGCAAATCTTCAATGATGGGTGATGATGGAACTGTAAAATATTTCAAAATAAATAAGTTGCTTCATAAAAATGAAAAAAAATAATTAAAATATTAAGAAACTTACGAGTAGCAACATATATGTTGGTATGATTTGAATCCAGCCCATTACTAGTAGCTTGAACAGTGACAGAGTAGTTTCTCCCAGGCAACAATGACTCTAATGATAAAGAGGTCTGGTCTTTGTCAACCAAGACAGAATTACTATCACCGTTATAGGTTTCAACCTCATGGTAAGTAATTTTGTATCCTTCCTGATAGCTGGAATTATCTGGGGACCATGTGATTTTAACAACTCCGGTCTTGTCATCTGTGGAGGAGTGCAAGTCCTGGACCGGAAGAGGCTTCAGTGTGACATTCCCTGAGGCAGGCCAGGATGTTACTTTGCCAGATACCGTCTTCACAAGCACTTGATAAGTTTTGCCTGCCTCCAAGCCGTCTCTGAACTCCCACTGCGTCGGCTCATCACGATTTCGAGTCACTGGAGGTTGCCTCCTCACAGAGATGGAAACTTGATATTTGTCAAACTCGCTGCAAAACAAGGAGGACTTCAATATCACCATGACAAATGACTTACCAAGATGAGAAAATAATGGCATTCACATGAACTTACCTGTTTCCTTTTGGAGGCTCCCAATGAACACGGAAAGAATTCGAGGTGATGCTATTCTTATCAAAAGTTACATTCATCGGTCTCAGGGGAACTGTGCGGTATTGAGCTGTTGTAGGAGCTGACACTTCATCTTCACTCACCGTCTGCACAGATATATTGTAAGCTCGACCTAAACAGCAACAATTCCAAAATTTAGTGAATATGAATTTGTGATTACAATTCTATAATCTCAATTGAAATTTCAAGTGGAAAAGATTTCTTGCCTGGAACTAGGCCTTTAAATGCAGCTTGCGCAGGGCCAGGAGGTTCCCCCTCCTTTTCGACATACAGAACACTTTCTACGGCATCAGGAGGGTCTATGGAAACTTTATAGTGTAAATAAACTCCAGGTGGGTATGGTGGCTGCCACAGCACCAACAGAGTTGTTTCATTTCGGAACCACACAATAAATTTTCCTGGGGTATTTGGTTCTGAAACAAGGAACAAGCAGACAGTTAAAAATTGTTTTAAAAAGGCAACAAAATGAGCTTGACAGGTGAATAGATATCTCACTCGTTGTAAAGTTTCTTGACGTGTAGGCTCCACTCTCTTTTCCTTCATAAACGGTGAAGAGCTGAAGCTGGTAAGATGCTCCTGGCATGAGGTCCTTGAGTGCAAACGGGCTGACGGCATCTTCTGATCGCAAGACTGGCTGCTGATGCGGTGACTCCGACAAGTTCACGACCTTAATTTTAAAATTAGTGTACTGCCCAATGACGGGTGGGCTCCAAGACACTTGGGCCACTTTACCACTCCGAACATTCACTGACAAATTGGTAGGCGGATCAGGAGCTGAAACGACAAAATTAAATGGTCATTAAAAATGACAACCCTAGCGCAGTATTTCGCGACCAGCACACAGTGGGCCACATGACCGGCGGAGGTGGAGGCGGCCAAAATTCTAGACGCGTTTTGAGCTTCAGGGTCGCTAAACAGGACTAGAGTCGAGCGTGTGACCCCACCAATGGATTCCTCCTTCGGAGAGCAATCCATTGGTGGGGGTCACACGTTCGGTTCGAGTCCCATCCAGCGACTCTGGAGCTCAAAACGCGTCTAGTTTATTGGCCGCCTCCAGCGATGTTCTGGCCCACTGTGCGGCAGTCTGATGAGACTCACCAGTGGTGATGGACGCCGTCCAGGTGAGCCAGTCGTGGACTGTCGAGTTGGAGTAGTAGAGCCAGAACTCGTACTTGGTGCCCGGCAGGCCCTGGCTGAACTGGATCACGTCCCCGATGTCCCTGCTGGCGATGGTGGCGTTGGGCGGCGGCGACCCGTGCGGCGGCGAGTAGTCCAGGCGGTACGAGCCGTCGGGGCTCAGGTTGCCGGGGATCTGGATCACCAGGTCCGCGGCGCCAGCGGCAGCCAGCTGCAGCAGAGACAACCACAACGTCACACAGTGGATTTGCCAGAAGACCGGTGGAGGCATGGCGGCCGAAATCCCGGACGCGTTTTTATCTCCAGAGTTACTAGATACGACTCGAACCGAACGTGTGACCCCACCAAAGGATTGCCCTCCGAACGAGGAATCCATTGGTGGGGTCACACGGTCGATTCGAGTCGTATCTAGCGACTCTGGAGCTCAAAACGCGTCTGTGTTTATTCAGCTCAGAATTGCTGCTGATGGTGGCAACAGGAAGTTGGGGAGTGGGGGAGGGGAAGGACCGCCGTCTGCATTATTCTAAACGATTCATTCATACGAGTGGAACGGAAACTGAACGGCACACGACCGGAAGCGCGGCCGCGACGCGGTGGCGGGGCGGGGCGGGGCGGGGCGGGGCGCGTCCCTCGGCTCGGACGTGAGAGGCGGGAGGATCATGCAGGCAGCATGCCGGTGTCTACGCTGTTGTGAAAACGCCCGCAACTTGGAACCCGCTCTGTCCTTCACCCCGCAACCTTTTCTCGCCCCCAGGGGTCGGTCTCAAGCTGGGCTGGTTTCAAAACACTCTTTGAGAAATTCGGCCGCGAGCGCGAGGTGTCCACTAAAGGAGTTCTTAGATAATCTGAGGCACAACTCAAGGCGACCGAGGCAAGGTTGCCTTGCAGTGCCTCCACTGCAACGCCCACGGCCCACCGGACGCTGAAGCGGGCTGAAGGCAGCGCGGGCCCCCACAGGTCCTCGACCTGCTCCGCCACTGGCCACGCCACCGGCCACGCTCCCGCCGCACAGTGGGCCAGAACACCGGTGGAGGCGGCCGAAACTCTAGACGCGTTTTGAGCTGCGGAGTCGCAAAGTGGGACTCGAACGGAACGAGTGACCCCACCAATGGATTGCTCTGCGAACGAGGAATCCATTGGTGGGGTCACACGTTCGGTTCGAGTCCAGCTTAGCGACTCTGGAGCTCAAAACGCGTCTAGAATTCCGACCGCCTCCACCGGTCTTCGGGCCCACTGTGCGCCGAGCCAAATTTGCACAGGCATTCCCCCGGCTGGCGCTGGCTGGCGCTGCGATTAACGCGAGATCGCTGCAATCGATCGAGTTGCCGAACTGAGTCGGACTAGCTCTTAGGGCGAGCGAGAGAGACTGGCCTCTGAGAGGTGGAAAGAGGGAGAGAGAGAGAGAGAGGAGGAGAGAGAGAGAGAGAGAGAGAGAGAGAGAGAGAGAAGGCGGCGAAGGGCGTGGTGGGGCACTAGAGGCGAGGCGGTGCCTCAAGGTGCTTCTTGCATTGCTATTCTTGCTGCAGAGGCGGCCAGTGACCAGCACACTGATTCCGAGAGTCGTTTTCGCCGCTCTGTCTCTGTCGCACTCAGCGACCCCTCAAAGCGACCTCTAGGCAAGCCTCTAGGGCGTTGCCCAAGCAACCCAAGCCAGCACGGAGGAAGGCAGGGCGAAAAGCAGCAAGTGGTTTCCGAAGGGCCGCCTCACCGCTGTCCCTGTCGCACTCATGGGATGGGGTGTCCCGTGTGGGTGCGAGAGAGACGGGAAACTATCGGTGGAAAAGGAACTGACCGGCACACGCAACTAGAGTCACTCGGGCGAGGCGCACTCCACTTCCAGGCGAAGTTCTCTCGAAGGAGGTTTCCCTTAGAAAGGCGAACCTCCTCACCACTGGAGGCGCATGTACCTATGTACCTCCATCCGGTCTAGCTCGGCCACGGGCGCACTGTGGGCCACAAGACCGGTGGTGCAGGCGGCCGAAACTCCCTTCGAGCTCCAGAGTCGCTAAACAGGACTAAACCGAAAGGGTGACCCCACCAATGGATACCTCGTTCGGTTCGGAGAGCAGCAATCCCGTGGAAACACTAACAGGCGCCACGGTACATTACTACAACCTATCACAACATCCCACGGGTGCACCGATAGTAGTCGAGAGATCAGAGATTATCCGGGAGAGCGCGAACGCAATCCCGACTATCAAAAATTATACACCCGAGGTATCCACATTTGGGATACTCGCAGGATTCAGCCCAACCGAAGTGCAATGGGAGGGCCTCGGCCTGGAGGAACCGCCTTAGTGATCACGGTTAACCTCTGTGCCAGGTAAGTATGAGGAAAATGGCGGCGGCCAGGGCACCTAACTCAGACGGCGCCCGTGGCAGCCTGCGTGCTGCAGCGCGCGGGGAGGTCCTTCAGGGCCTCGGCGTGGACGCCGTCCGCGCGGCACGGTCCTCTGAGCGCGCGCCGCGCCCCGGGGACGTCGCCGCCGACCGGGAGACACCGGAAACGACCCCTAAGTCCACCCCGTGCCGTTCAAATAGGACGATTTAAGCCCGAACCGCGAGCGGGCAGCGCCGCCGGACCTCTGGCGGCAGGACGAGGAACTACCGCGCAGCCCGCGGCGGCCGCGTGCGAGTCGGGAGGTCCTGGCGCCGCGCGCGCGCGCCCCGCGCCCGTCCGCTGACCGCCGAGCCCCGGCTCGCCGGAGGCGCCACCGGTGCTCGAGAGACTCCGGCACAGATGGGCCAAAGCCGTTGGAGCCGGAAACTAAGAGCGTTTGAGCCAGAGTCGCTAAATGGATCACCGAACGTGTGACCCACGATGGGTTCCTGTTCGGAGAGCGGCCATTGGTTGGGTCACAGTTCGGTTCGAGGCCCATTTGCGACTCTGGAGCTCCAAAACGCGTCCGAGATTCAGACCGCCTCAACCAGTCTTCAAAGCAAAAAGTCACTCCCAAGGGGCGCCAAGGCAACGCGAAACGTGTGCTGCAGAGGCCGTATTCAGGGGTTACGCCCGTCGCCTTGAAAAAGTAAAGTCCCAAAGTCTTTGCACAAAGTCGAAACAGGCAAGTCAAAAATTGGGACAAGTCGAAAGTCACCTTGAAATTAGTCCAAGCCAACTAGCTCGTTTGAGTCCTCCCGAGCCGTGGCGTCCCCCTCGAAAAGCGTCCAGATCAGACCGGACCCCCGCCTGGCACTTGCTCCGTCCGAGCTGGGCAACAAAGTGCGGAACGTGTGCCACGGGTCGTTCCCGCTCCGCTGGTCGTCCCTCGTGTGGTGCGCCCAATTCAGGAGACAGCGACTCTGGAGCTCAAAACGCGTCTAGCGTTTCGAGCCTGCAACCGGCTTATGGCCCCCGGCCGGTCGCACCGGAGGTCGTTTCCCCGTCGCACGGCCGTGGGCCAGAAGACCGGTGGAGGCGGCCAAAACCCTAGACGCGTTTTGAGCTCCAGAGTCGCAAAGTGGGACTCGAACCGAACGTGTGACCCCACCAATGGATTCCTCGTTCGGAGAGCAATCCATTGGTGGGGTCACACGTTCGGTTCGAGTCCCATTCAGCGACTCTGGAGCTCAAAACGCGTCTAGCGTTTCGGCCGCCTCCACCGGCCTTCTGGCCCACTGTGCCGCGTCGCACCGCCTATCCGCCTCTCTGCTTCGCGGGTGCCGCGTCGGTTAGCCACCGCGACCACGAGGGCTGCCGGGCAGGGGCAGGGCAGGCCGGGCACTGCGGCACTTCGGCACGGAAGCAGAAATAGAAATTGAGCCGGCTGTACTGTGCAGGGCGGCATGGCGGCACGGCGCCCCTTAGTGTGTTGGGTACACTGCAGTACAGTGATGTAATTACTACAGTGCAAAGGGGCCGAGGGGCGGGGCCGCACAGTGGGCCAGAAGACCGGTGGAGGCGGCCAAAACTCTAGACGCGTTTCGAGCTCCAGAGTCGCTAAACAGGACTCGAACCGAACGTGTGACCCCACCAATGGATTCCTCGTTCGGAGAGCAATGCTTGTTGCCACCCTAGGCCAGGCGGGCGAAAATAGCCAAAAGAAAACAACTCTAACTGTCGGAGGGGGAAAGGAGGAGGGCAAATTGCTCGTCAGGTTTAGTAGACGCAGCGTCGGACTGACTACACACTAAGTACGTAACGCTGCCTGAGTGACTGTCTAAATGGGCCTCGGCGGGCCTCGCCACACACAGTGGGCCAGAAGACCGGCGAATGCGGCCGGAACTCTAGACGCCTTCTGAGCTCCAGAGTGGCTAAATGGGACTCGAACCGCACGTGTGACCCTACCAATAAATTGCTCTGCGACCGAGGAAACCATTGGTGGGGTCACACGTTCGGTTTGAGTCCCATTTAGCCACTCTGGAGCTCAAAACGTGTCCAGAATTTTGGCCGCCTCCACCGGTCTTCCGGCCCACCGAGCCCCGAGCCACAGCCCCAGCGCGGCCCCAACGACTGGCTGCAAACAGAGTACAGACCAACCTTAACGACCTCTTCAAACACGTTTAGCTAAACAATGGCCGTCCCAAACCTGCCGAGACAAGAGCGGGGAACCAGCAGCACACACCCAAAACATCTTTTCAAAGTTCGACATTCGTTTTTGTTTCGCTGCCGTTCGTCGCCGCTCAGCAGGTGCTCGTTTCGCTGCCTCTATGACGGTGGCCAGAACTCTAGACGCGTTTTGAGCTCCAGAGTGGCTAAATGGGACTCGACCCGAACGTGTGACCCCACCAATGGTTTGCTCTCCGAACGAGGAATCCATTGGTGGGGTCACACGTTCGGTTCGAGTCCCATTTAGCGACTCTGGAGCTCAAAACGCGTCTAGAGTTTCGGCCGCCTCCACCGGTCTTCTGGCCCACTGTCCCACGGCGTTTCGCCGCGTTTCGCGACTCGGAAGGAACTCGGAGCGCGGGCCCGACAACAAAAAGGGAATGCCGCCGGAACCGCGGCAAACGTTCCCACGATGCACCGCGCCTCCGTCCGTCTGTCTGTCTCTCTCGCACTCCTTCGGGACCTTCGGGGCGCCCCGCGAGAGCGAGAGAGACGGAGACAGCAGCGCGTTGCAGCGAGGCGCCGCCCGGCGCCGCCACACACGGCCGAGTCATTGTTGCACTTGGTGACGGCTCTTGCATCACAGTCGCGGTTGCGAGACTGCCACACTGCAAGACGGCGAGGCGCAAGCAAGCAAAGCAATCAAGCGACAAACGATTGTC